CTTGCAGAGGCTATATCTTGGACAATTTTGATCCGATTCTCAAGCGGAGTACCTTAAACGATTTCTAGATCTATTCTGAGTAAATTGGCATCAAAACCTAGAAACAAAATTTTCGATCCGATTTTTTCAAATTTTTCTAGGGGGCTCCCTTCAAAATGGCCATCTTTGTAGGAAGACCAACTTTGACCCCCTGCGGAGACTATATCTTGGAAAATTTTAATCCGATTCTCAAGCGGAGTACCTTAAACGATTTCTAGATCTATTCTGAGTAAATCTGCATCAAAACCTACAAACAACATTTTGGATCCGATTTTTTAATATTTTTCTAGGGGGCTCCCTTCAAAAATGGGCATCTGCCTAGGAAGACCAACTTTGACCCCTTGCGGAGGCGATATCTTGGACAATTTTGATCCGATTCTCAAGCGGAGTACCTTAAACGATTTCTAGATCCATTCTGAGTAAATCTGCATCAAAACCTAGAAACAAAATTTTCGATCCGATTTTTTCCAATTTTTCTAGGGGGCTCCCTTCAAAAATGGGCATCTGCCTAGGAAGACCAACTTTGACCTAGTTCGGAGGCTATATCTTGGACAATTTTGATCCGATTCTCAAGCGGAGTACCTTAAACGATTTCTAGATCTATTCTGAGTAAATCTGCATCAAAACCTACAAACAACATTTTGGATCCCATTTTTTCAAATTTTTCTAGGGGGCTCCCTTCAAAAATGGGCATCTGCCTAGGAAGACCAACTTTGACCTCTTGCGGAGGCTATATCTTGGACAATTTTGATCCGATTCTCAAGCGGAGTACCTTAAACGATTTCTAGATCTATTCTGAGTAAATCTGCATCAAAACCTAGAAACAAAATTTTCGATCCGATTTTTTCAAATTTTTCTAGGGGGCTCCCTTCAAAAATGGGCATCTGCCTAGGAAGACCAACTTTGACCCCTTTCGAAGGCTATATCTTGGACAATTTTGATCCGATTCTCAAGCGGAGTACCTTAAACGATTTCTAGATCTATTCTGAGTAAATCTGCATCAAAACCTAGAAACAAAATTTTCGATCCCATTTTTTCAAATTTTTCTAGGGGGCTCCCTTCAAAAATGGGCATCTTCGTAGGAAGACCAACTTTGACCCCTTGCGGAGGCTATATCTTGGACAAATTAGATCCGATTCTCAAGCGGAGTACCTTAAACGATTTCTAGATCTATTCTGAGTAAATCTGCATCAAAACCTAGAAACAAAATTTTCGATCCGATTTTTTCAAATTTTTCTAGGGGGCTCCCTTCAAAAATGGGCATCTGCCTAGGAAGACCAACTTTGACCTCTTGCGGAGGCTATATCTTGGACAATTTTGATCCGATTCTCAAGCGGAGTACCTTAAACGATTTCTAGATCTATTCTGAGTAAATCTGCATCAAAACCTAGAAACAAAATTTTCGATCCGATCTTTTTAAATTTTTCTAGGGGGCTCCCTTCAAAAATGGGCATCTGCCTAGGAAGACCAACTTTGACCTCTTGCGGAGGCTATATCTTGGACAATTTTGATCCGATTCTCAAGCGGAGTACCTTAAACGATTTCTAGATCTATTCTGAGTAAATCTGCATCAAAACCTAGAAACAAAATTTTCGATCCGATTTTTTCAAATTTTTCTAGGGGGCTCCCTTCAAAAATGGGCATCTGCCTAGGAAGACCAACTTTGACCTCTTGCGGAGGCTATATCTTGGACAATTTTGATCCGATTCTCAAGCGGAGTACCTTAAACGATTTCTAGATCTATTCTGAGTAAATCTGCATCAAAACCTAGAAACAAAATTTTCGATCCGATTTTTTCAAATTTTTCTAGGGGGCTCCCTTCAAAAATGGGCATCTGCCTAGGAAGACCAACTTTGACCTCTTGCGGAGGCTATATCTTGGACAATTTTGATCCGATTCTCCAGCGGAGTACCTTAAACGATTTCCAGGTCCATTCTCCGTGCATCTTCATCATATTCTCTAAATATAGTTTCAGTTTCCAATGACCAATTAACCTGGCCAAGAGCGAAATAAGGGCCAACAACAGATGTGTCGAACAAGTGCCTATCAGTTTCTCCCTTAACATACCCGGGCCGTGTTTATCTGAAATTCAAATTTACTTTCCGTGGTGCTGTTTACCTTTTTTTTGGCTTCTGACAGCAGCCCCCGAATTATTTGCATAATAGAAAATGTTTAAGTTGTTTCCTCTGTTTTTTTGTTGGTTTGTTGGGTTTTTAGCTGCTGGCAGAATCGACAAGATCGGGGATCGGAGAAAGAGTCAATCGACGAGGTGTTCACTTTCTTTTTCACTTCGAAGTGAATTTTTTCTTCTCTGGTTTTTTATTTTTCTCGAGAGACAGTCGATGGGTGCTGGATATGTATATAATGGTGTCTTAAGCTGAGGTCGCAGGTGAAAATTTGGAGACCCATGACTCGTTACAAGAATGAGACAAGTTTTCTATAAGTCTGGTATATAGATCCAATATAAGAATTAATATTTGAGAGGAATGCCCATCCTGTTGCCGATTTGTTTCGTTTGATTTTCGAAAGGTGGCACATTAATCATGTGCCAATTGAGCCGGACTTGTGCATTGTTTGGTTTCAGCCAGGCTAATTACGCACCTTTTTTAATGGTCACTGGATAGGTGACTGCCGGGGGGTCAGGGTGTGGTGCCAATTGCAAATTGCGCATACGCCCCGGCTGACATGTGAAAGAAGCGGCTGATGGGCCGAGACTGCGGGAGATGCGAATGCGAGAGAAAAGTCGTTAACAGGCAAAGTTTTCGAAATTATATATCTCAGATCTCAGCCCCTCCAGACCCCCCTGAGCTCACAAACGTACGGCCAACAGAAAAATGTATGAAAGAATTCCCAAAAATCCGCTGGAGAGTGAAAGCAGCCGGCAAAATGCGAGAGTTTCGTTTGCTTTTTTTGGCGGGGCTCCCAAAGATCATTGACTGTTTGTATCTGTATCTGTAGCCTGTATCCGTGAGTGTGCTTGGGTATCTGCGTGTGGGTTGAGTGGCACACTTGCCGCTTGTTTTCATTTCTGGGCTTGGCCCGACCGACCACGATCGGTGATCAAAGTATTGAACTCGTTTCTCATGGGGTGGGGGAACTTTTCCGATACGTGTGGGTATCTGGCCACCATTTAATCTGTAACTATTTTGGGGGCAGCACCAAATAATATTGGGCCCAAATCAAAAGGAAAATTGCTGCAATCTCGGCTACAATAAATTCCCATTCTTAAGTGTTTGCCAACAATCTTAACGATCTCTGGCGAGTAATGGATATGGAATATGCATTCTGCTTATCATGTAGATGTGTTTCGCAATGTGCTCAGCGATTTATAGGCCCATAGTCGCCGAATGAAAACGAAATTGAAAACGAAAACGAAAGACTCAAGACACAAACTTGTCGCACAAGCACCGCAGCCGTTTGCAAACTTACATAAAGCAAGTGCCAGAAGATACAATACGATAGCCTCCAGCCCCCCTCCCCCACTCCACTCCACTGCCCTCCCGAAAAAAAGGCTGAAAAACAAGTGGAAAACCAGTCATGAAGTGGCCAGCCAAGAGTTTTGTGCAATTACTTAAATATTTTTCCTTTTTGCAGGCGCGAGTTTCTTTTGTCTGTTTCTTATTTTGGAAGCCGCTTGCGTAAATTATACTTTCGCGATCAGACACACAATATTTTTATGAATTTTTCGAGAGGCACTCGAATTTGGTGTTGCACTTTTTTGTATTTGTGTTTATTGGATTTGCATAGGCACTGGCATGGGCATGGGTGTTTATGGCCCGGCAGGTGAACGCTCTATTTAAGCCACTTTAATGCCAAATGGTTCGCGCCCAAAAGTGCTCCAAAAAGCAGAGTTTAATTGCACATTCAATTGTTTTTGGCCGCGCGTCTTCCTCGTCTTTTTATGTGGCCTATAATTTTGTATTATATTTGGGCTTTGTGGCCTTTTGTTTACGGATCTGTTAGCCGTTGCTTTTGGCCATTAAGCATTTGCAATGCAACCGTTACACACGCCTTTTACATTTTCATACCAAGCGATATGAATATTTCTATGTGGCTATGGCTATGGCTCTGGCATCTGTGCCCAGGAATACCTGCGCTTACATAAGCACGCCATTAGTTTAAAAACTGAATAAGAAATAAAATAATGAAAACGAGCCAACATCGCAACATGGCCAAAAGCGAACAAAAAGATTCTCCAGTCACGTCGCCAGCCAAGTGCCAAAAAGGCAGACAAACAAAACGCATTTTTCAATCCCCCCCTCAAGGCAACAACATTGAATTCTTCTCTTTATTATTGTTATTGTCTTCTATGTGTGATTTCAATTAACATAAACATTACAACAACAATGACATCGACATTCGAAGAACAAGTTTTTGAAACTTTACTTTCGATTGTGTGTTTAGAATCATTAAGGTCCCCCAACACGAATTTTATAATTTTGAACGCGACGTGTTTGGGGTTAAAAGCCGTCTCGTTGTTGGCCCAATTAGTTGGCTTCAATTAAATGATTCTATTAAATGTTTTCTCTCATTTATTTCCGTTAATCTGAAGTCTTTCCAAGACATCCACCTGAAAACACTTTCAATTATTTTCGCCCATCATGACGTCAGCAAATGTTCCAAATTGAAATTGAATGGCAGATTGAAGATGCTGCGCGGCGATTCGAAAGCTTGTTGTCTTGTTGTTGCCACCAATGGAGGCTGTGGCGGCTGTGGCGGCTGTGGCGGCTGTGGCGGCTGCTGTGCCTGCTGCACGCTCGTTTACGTTTGTTGTCGGCACTTCTTTAAACGCAGATTTACGCGAACAGGTTGTAAAGCAACAACAACACTGCCACTGGCATACCAAAAATGTAAAGCTCCGCTCCGCTCTGGCAGCTAGCTTTTTTTTGGGCAGCGCCGCTGGCAGCGGCAGCAACGGCAGCGGCAACATCAGCAGCAACTGTTAGTTGTATTCGAACGCGCTTTGGAGCAACACGTGCTGCTCTCGCCGCCCCCACCGCACGCTAACGGTAGCTCGTGGCTACTCCTCGGACTATATCCGATCTTCGATTTGTTTCCAAACACCTCACGCGGTTCGGCGGTGATCTCTTTTTTTTTGTATTTGTGTGTTCAAGTGAAATGGAATTTGGTGAATTTTAATTGCACGCAGCAAGCTGCCGGCTGCCGACAGTGGCAACATTTCATTCAACTCCAGATAAAGCAACCGCACCAGCAGCAGCACCAGCATCAACATCATTGGGAGAAAATAGCTGATAAATAGACAATAACATAAAACAAAGGCCGGGGACGCCACTTCAATTATCGTAAGTTTGCACCTTGCCGTGGCAGAAAGAGAAAAGCCGGGGAAAGATGGAGATTCGTGAAATTGCAAATGACATTATTAGGAGCACGTGCACTGACTCTCCAACTGAGGATAATTGTTAGATAATAATTATTATAAATAAAATATATATTTAAAGTCTCGAATAACAAAGGGGCAAGCCCACCTCTGAAACATTCATGACTCCTTCAACTTCAATTATAATCCCAGCCAATAGTGACTCATAGAACTCCCATAACCTCTCACAATTCCCATTGAAATTGGACCATTCAGCTCCTTGGCAATTGTTTTCTGCCGCTTTTTTTTCAACTGCAAACAAGAAAACAATTACACTCGCCTCGAATACATATATAAATAGACGAATTTATGGAGGTTAGACAGATAAAAAAAAAATGGTCAAAAAATGGAAAGTCTTCATAAGCAATTTTTACAAGATCGTTGGCTGCCGTTTAGCGAACAAAAAATTGACAACCACAACGAGCGGAAATTTGTTGGGTTTTTAACGACTTTGCCCTGAGACTTGAAGCACTTTATGTTCAGTGGAGTCCACAGGTCAAACCAGCCATTAGAATGCCTCAGTTTTGGGGGGGAAAACAAAATGCCCAAACTAGGGATTACGTAAACCAAATACAAGAAATATCTGCCGGGGCTATATAATTAAGTTCCACCTTGAAAACGAAAGAATTTTTGACAATGGCAGCCACGTTTTGAGGGGGCTTCGAGCTAGTAACCTCTTAGGGGGGGGTAGCAACTAGCAAGTAAATCATATTCATTTCAATTTCCTGATGTGCCGCCTCCTCCAATTGCATAATTGGACGCCCTCGGCACGCGTACCTGTGCGATAATTGCAGGAAATGCAGGTACACACCTCGCACCAAATATCGTTGCATGCGGCGAAAGTTTTCCTTGAAGTGCATAATGCATCATGTAAATAATAATAATAAATGCGAGGCGAAAACAAGAAAACTGCAAAGAGGCCAAAAAGTAAAGCCGCACCAGTGCTGCCCACTGGCTAATTGAAAGTGAAAGGGGGAACCAGACCCGAGACCTGAGGACCTGAAGTAGGCACAGGCATGTTAGAGATAAGATACCAGGTACCTCAAGTGTAGGAGGGTGTACGGGTACCGGGTATTGCATAGTCTGTCCACCAACTGGCTTGCTAAAATGGCCACAATTGATTCAAGTTTTGACCGCAAAATACGTTTCCCTCGCAGCCGGGCAAGTGTTCCGTTTTGAATTTATTTCGTTTCGACTCTTTTTGATTGCCCGGCCAGATTTGAACGTTCGAATGGCAATGTTTTCTGGCTTTTTTGTTCGTTTTTGCCTTGTCTATTTCATAAGATCGAGGCATAAATTGGCCAGTTAGCCCCTGCCCGGTTGCCACAACCCGGCTCTCAGCCGCGTGCACTGCAATCGCTTGGACTCTGATTCGTGGCAAGTGCGTAAGGCAATTTTCCACAGCCCCGGCCTCTGGTTTTCTGGCCAGCGTGCAATTATTTTCATATGAAGTCATTTCAAATGCTAATTCCAGCGACAACAGCCGCGCCAAACGGCGACGACCTTGCCTTGCCTCGCCTTGCCGCCTTAATTGTACCACGATCGGGATACAGAGGGGGTATCTGGGGGGCTGTGAGAGTGCAAATACTCGACGGCGAGTGCGTGCAACCAATGTTGTTCAAACTAGATTAGGCAGCACATATATCGCTATGTACACACGATCAGACATAGGTTTATGAACACATGCAGGCTGTTGGCTTGCCATTGCACTTGCCTGAGATAATAAACAATCGGCATCGGCATCGGCGGAAAATGGCTCTAAATATTTACCATCTAGGGTCAATCACTTGTAGGATGTGGTTTCAGAGAGACCATCGATGTGGATACTTTAATCAATGAATGCCACAGACTTGATCATCAACGATGATTGGATACAGACTTTCGGTTTCCTCCAACAAAAAATGTAATTACGACGAGAGCTGAATTTTGATTAATATACCCCAATAAAAAAAAAAGCCATCGAAAGCCACTGCGCAATTAGAAGACAGATTTTTGATTATCTGCGGAATATTTTTCACTTAAACCTTAATCAACAACAATAATAATGAGGCAGGCAGACAATTAATTGTCATTGGCGGCCCTGCCCATCACCAGGGCCTTGCGAGGCACCCAAAATAGACGCCGGATCGATCCGAAGGGGCCGAGGTGCGTTCCCATTGGCCAAAATTAACAGTCGGGTATTAAATTCCATAGGAAAACAAACAACAAGCAAGTACACTGCAGGCTGACCACAATTTTGAAGGCTACACAGACTCTTAACCCACTGTTGACCAACAACCGAGGCGCTATGAAAAGCCCCAACACAAAGCCATCGCTCTCAGACAAAGGTAAACAATGCAAAATTGTCATTTGGCTTCAGAGACTCGTAATCGTGTGACTTAAATACTTTGACATTTCAACCTCTGTCGGTCTGCATTCCGAATGCAGCTCATACATATGTGTATGTTGTCTACACACGTGCAGCCTCGCAGCTTTGCAACTTGCCACCATCATGATCATCATAATTATTCTCATTCCAATTCATTTTTTTCTGTCCAAATGCCTGCATAAAATTAACTCCACTCCAGGCCATGGCTGTCTATGATATAGACATGCCATCGAGATTTTAGGTGTGGGTACAGGGCGGTCTCCGGTCTCTGGCTGGAAGACCTCAAGCTGAGCGTCGGACCTGCATTCCAGGTTCTACAGAATCAGTTAGTTTAGCATAATGTATATTTTATTTGCTTTCCCGCCCAAGCCGCAGTCGAGTAGGGCCCTCGAAACGAAAGACTTAGGAAACGAACTTGCCGTTTTGTTGCCGCTCTTATTGGCAAATGGAGTGGCATTCGTCCGAAGAATTGTCAAGCGAATTGGTCACACCCCCGGGGCATTCCACAGCCGCCACCCCCGTTCCCGTTAGGAGGTGCACTTGCTTTATTTGCCTCCGGAGAGCACCCTAATGATGGTATTCTCGGTGGCAGTGGTATTCTTAACTGGCGCTGTCTTGCTCAGCTGCCTGGGATGATGATGATGCAACATTAGCCGCTACATCGGGCCAACTCAAGTGTTGCAAGTGCCAGTTGCTGCTGGTTATTGTTATTGTTATTGTTGCAGTGTCACATTTCACAGTTATTTGTTGGTGTTGTTGCACGTGCTCTTTTGATATTTTAATTTACTTTTGCCGCTCGTCTGTCACGGCAGGCGGTGTCTTAATTACCTCAGACGACGTCAACATGCATCACAGCTAATCATATAATATCTGCGATGCACTGAGCACATTCAGGGGTAGGTCTTCTCCCCCAGAATCGTTTAGTTTGCTGGTTTTTTCAACTGCAACATTTGCGTGGGTAGCAGGAAGGCCCAGCATGCTACTTGAACTGCCATCTCGTGTCTTAACTTTGTCTATATTCGTCAGTAAGTTAGTCAGTCATTCAGTTAGGCAGTCATTCAGTCAGCCACTCAATCAGTCAGTCAATGCTGTGGGAATTTTCACATACGTCTGTGGACTTTGTTGTACATTTTTTGGTTTATGCAGGTGTCTTTTCGGACGGATGATGCAATTAGTAGGCCACTTTGTGGGCCAGATTCTGTGGCAGAACTCCCTTCCTGATTTTCAAGTCAGGTGACAAATTGCTGAAGCGTTTTCCACGATTGTGCAATCGGAAAACTCGAAAAATCAGCTGCAGCTGCTGCTCCAAGTGGCTGCCACTTGCCACTTGATGTGGGCTTACGGCTCCCACTACCATGGCTTGGAAAACGAGCCGGAATATATCATGCCACCTTCTAGCCAAGCGGCTGTTTGCCTAAATGCATAAAATTGAAGCCAACGCTCATGAATCGCTCGCAACATTCCCCTTATACTCCGATCGAAACCATTTTGGCCAAGTTTCAGTTTCAATAACCGATTTGCCACGAATAATTAGCAAATCCCCATGGATTGCCCCATGAAGTGCCGCACTTACAAGGCACTCTCGAGAAACGGTTTCGAAAACAAATATTTTTCGGTTCGGAAACCAAAAGAGGCGGCTATAAAATGAGGAAATCCTCCTTCCAAGCAGCCCCTATTAAAAAATAGTTGGGCAAAAATTGGTGTACGCCAATCAATTGGCCTCCAAAATTATGGCCAGCATGGGACGCCAGCAAGTGAAAGTGTCGAGCCGCACACACGCAGCCCCAGCGGTATATGTATCTACGTCTGTATATATTTACGTACAGGTGAGGCTGCTGAGCTGACCGCTGAGATTGCTGCCAAACCGGTGCAATTTTGCTTTCAGGAAAACCTATCGACATGGCTCTTCCTTCCAAATCCATTTCCATTCAATACGCGCTACAATTAAGTGCTTTGTTCGAGAAAATTAAATTATACTTAATCTGAAATGTATCTTTCTGTGGTTTCTGTATCACATTCCAACTTGGATTTGCCCTTTAATTTCTGCCAAAAACAGTAAGCTTCGTTTAGGAAACCTGTTATTGAATTGTTTCTGTTTTTGCCGCCAAATGTTTCTTTTGTGTTTGCTTTTCCCCGGCCTTTAGTTTTCCTTTTTCTTTCATAGCCAGTGCGATTTATTGTCTTTGATTTTTAGTTTCACCCAACGTATTCCAGTGGAGGTTGGTTGGAGGCTCTCCCCGGATATATTTCGAACTCTATTAATCGAAGCTCGAAGGAATCTGTAAAAAAGAACTTTTGGTTTGTGGCAAGTGGCTTTCCCCTTTCGCTCAAGTTACTTTTCAGCTGGAGTTGCGGTTTTCTTGGTTTAGCGCTTGGGCGATTTTCGAGTGCAACACCAGCTGCATTTGGCGGCAGAGCTGGCTGGCTGAAAAAGCCAGAAAGACTTTGTATTCAGAAGCCAAATTTCCAAGCTCGAAGGGAGACACTATTGACAGGTCTGTCGTGGGAAAGGTGATGGGCCTTCGAAACTGGAAATCGAAAATGTAGATGTCCGGAGCCGGACAGGAGGGGCGTACTTCCCATGCTAATTGAAGAGTTTCGACCGCTCAAGTCGGCTCGTCGGCTCCCCGGCTCGTACCTGGCCAATTACGCCTTATGGCCGTAAAGGCGACAACAGTGAAAATGAAAAGTGCCACAAATGAGCAGCCGGACCTGGTCTGTGGAGATGGAGTAGAAAGCAGGCATCGAGGCACTGGCAAAATGTCAACAGAAAACCAGATAAATGCCACAACTGCCACAAAAAGATTCTTCATCTTTCCCCCCTCTCCACCGTTAGTAAAAAAATATATTTTTTTATGGTGCAGGCAGTAACGTTTATACATATATCAGACTTGTACAAAGGTATGAATGACAAATACAATTTATAGAAAACCCTGCATTCAATAGCTAGTGGCCTCTTCTTGAATCCTAATCTTGCTGTCCAACAGAATACTTCAAATTTTGGATATCACTTTGTCCTGCCAGCTATCCACCTGAGGGAAAGAGACTGGGTTAATAAAAATAAAAGAAAGGATACAAAATACTCACCATAATATGCTATGCTGCATTTACTTTATAATTTAGAAGGAATGTCCAAATAATGTGCTCTTTCTAGTAGGTTACTACTAAGTACTCCATGAGATACTTCTTGCGATGTTAAATACTTTTATAATTTCTAGAATGGTTTCCTAAATACTCGTACTATTGCTTGTAGGTTTCTACTAAGTACTTCATGAGATACTTCTTGCGATGTTAAATACTTTTATAATTTCTAGAATGGTTTCCTAAATACTCGTACTATTGCTTGTAGGTTAGTACTACTTCTATGATACACGATTTTACTAATTTTCCATAGCATCTAGATAAAAAGAATGGCTGGTTAGTGGAATACAAATTATATCACGTCCTTATAGCACTTGCCTTGGATTTGTTTCCTAGTTGCCGCTACCTTCTTGGGCTTCGATGTAGCCTTCTTCTTCGTGACTCCACCCTTGCTAGTTCCTGCCGGCTTGCGGGGCTTAGATGCCTTCTTTTTAGATCCCGAAGAGCAGCAAGCACAGGGCTCCCCAATATCCATATCTGTGCTTGAATCCAAGGAACGCCCCAAAACGGTTGTAAAACTCGGCACATTCTCGTCTACAGATTCATCAATAAATGACACGTCACGTACAGCTGCGGCTACAAATAATTAATTTATCGTTATTAAATTAACAATTAAATTAATTTATCGCAGGCCTATAGACTCACCTTTTTTAGCTGCCTTTTTAGCAGCTGCCTTCTTAGCAGCAGCCTTCGATAGTTTCTTAGCAACCGACTTTGGCTTCATCGCACGCGACCTCATGTAGGTTACGGCGAGCTTCTTATTGATCTTCAGAGAGGGTTTACCCTTCAATGCTTTCTTGGCCGATCCTGGGGTGGCCTTTTTGGTTTTCTTCCTTGGTGCACGGGTTTTACGGGTTTTACGGGTGGTGGTGGTGGTGGTGGTGGTGGTCTCGTTCGGCACGACGGGGGCCTCGGTACTGCTGTTGGCATTGGCTTTACCGCGACGAGAGAATACCCGGAATAAAAACATCGTAGAAAGGCACGAATTTTATTCCCAAAAAAAAATATTTGTGAAAAACCGACGCTCTAAATATTTAATTTTGTACGAAATTTTAATTTCGTCAAAATAATTAATATTTTGGAAAATTTATTATTTTAATCAATTTTTTTTATTCCAAATATTTATTTGACGAATATTTATTATTCCAAATATTTATTTTACGAATAAATATTATTTAAAATAAATATTTTTACTTAATATTTAAGAGCGAAGTAGATGTTTTCCGTTTCGAGTTTAGGATTTGAATGAACATTAGAAGCGGAATCTCCCAGTCGTCGATTTTTTTTGTTGAAAGTTGGATTCAATGGCCTACTGTTCTCAGGAAAAAAATCGACGACTAAGAAATTTTCATTCTCAATACTAGCCTGCTTTATCCACAGACTACACCGACCAAAGTGAAAAAAAAGACTTTAAATGAAAACCAATTTGCCACTTGCTGAAAGCAATTTTCCATATCAGATGCCATTTAAGTGGCTTACCTCTAAGCGATATCAGCCGCGTGGAGCCACAAAACAATGCCACCTCATGCCACTCCCCCAGTATTTGCCTTTTTTTCCTTTTCAATTTAATTTTCAAGTGTTTTTTGCTTTCGATTTCAGCTTGGGTCTCAGTTAGAGTTTCGGTTTCGCATTTTGCTTAATTGCCAGCCAAGTGCGAACCGGTTCGGCTTAAAGAACAATGACAACCGGCCACCAAATGTCAAGGTGGATAATGCCAGCCATATATTCGCTCATATATAGATAATACTCGCATAAAGCTATAGCCGAAAATCTGACTTGGCCCACAGAACGTTGACAATTGTTGAAGGGTATTGCGGATGGATTGCCGATGGGGGACAGAATATTTGCCAACTGGGGGTTATTGTGGCAATTATGGAATAAATAATTATGGCTTATAAATAATAAAAAAAAGATCAATCAAGTGATTATTGGCTTGGACGAAAGGCTGGGCCGATAAACGAACAGATTCGAAAGTGTGAGCCAAACAAAAGACTTAGACAAAAAACTTGAAACTGCCCCGGAGGGTATTGGCTTTTAATTCCCTAATCTTTTAGATCCGTGGAATTTGTTACACTGAAAATAAAAAAATCCTTTTCTTTTTGACCTTGCAGCCCCTTGTCCATGATCCAGTGAAATCTGAACAGGAATCAGACCAGAAAATGACAGAGAACAGCAACCAGCAGCCGGCTAGTGGCGGAGGAGACTTCAATGGCCGCCACTCGGCCTCTCCGGCCAGGACGATCGACTCCCACGACTCCACCACTGGCAGCATGGACACCATTGTTGATCGCAGCCTGAACCGCGAGGAACTAAACCAAGCGGCCACCATTGAGCAGAGCACAAACACCACAAACACGGGATCGGAGAGCCTGACCAACTCTCAGATCGGAATGCTGCAGCGGGACCAGGAGCAGCGGAAGCAACTGCAGGAAGATCAGGAGCAGGCACGCCAGGATGCCCAAAGTCACATTTATTCGAGTCCCGTGTACGATGAGAAGCCGCCAGCCCTGAAGCTGCTCTCGGCCGCCCTGGACCTCGATGTGGAGGCGGCCAAGGTTAAGAGCCAAGAGGACGAGGCGCAGAAGCCCAAGATAATCTCCCATCAGGAGTTCAAGCAGCAGCTAGAGGAGGCAATGGCCTCCAGAATGCCAGGCAGCCAGGTGACAAAGGCCGGCTCTAAGAGCGCCGCCAACACTTTGGACTCCAGAATCAGCCGCAAGCAGCGCTGTCCTCCGGAGTTCATCAAATACAAGGAGGGCAGCGAGGCCAGCTCTTCCTCGATATCCGGTCGGAACAACCGCAAGCGAAAGGCCAGCAACGAATGCTGCTCCGCCTTTCCTCTTCAGATCGTCTTGGGCACTTTGCAGCTGGTCTTGGCCGTCTCTTTAGTGGCCCTCGGATCACTGCTGATTGTCCGGGACGCGGCTCTCTCGATGGCCGGATGCGGCATCTGGACAGGATTAATAGCCGCTGTCACAGGGTCCCTCGGCGTAGTGAGCATGCGAAAAACTCAGACCGCCTTTCTGGCTCTCAGCTTGGTGTGCATTGCCAGCAGTACCTTGGCCCTGGCCATTTCCGGAGTGGGCCTCTCCAGGGATCTCAACCGAATGGCAGAGCAGAAGGGTGAACAGGTAAGGGAACTTTTGTTTTTAAAAATTGTTGATATACATATGATGAATTCCAAAATCGTTTAGGGTATGAATGAAACAAAATTGTCCAATTAGTATTTAACCTCTGCAAGGGGTGGCCTCCGCGTGGCCTCCGTTGCTTTACCACGCAGATCCCCATTTTTGAAGGGAGCCCCCTAGAAAAATTGGAAAAAATCGGATCGAAAATTTTGTTTCTAGCTTTTGATGCAGATTTACTCAAAATAGATCTAGAAATCGTTTAAGGTACTCCGCTTGAGAATCGGATCAAAATTGTCCAAGATATAGCCTCCGAAAGGGGTCAAAGTTGGTCTTCCTAGGCAGATGCCCATTTTTGAAGGGATCCCCCTAGAAAAATTTGAAAAAATGGGCTCGAAAATTTTGTTTCTAGCTTTTGATGCAGATTTACTCAGAATGGATCTAGAAATCGTTTAAGGTACTCCGCTTGAGAATCGGATCAAAATTGTCCAAGATATAGCCTCCGCAAGGGGTCAAAGTCGGTCTTCCTAGGCAGATGCCCATTTTTGAAGGGAGCCCCCTAGAAAAATTTGAAAAAATGGGATCGAAAATTTTGTTTCTAGCTTTTGATGCAGATTTACTCAAAATAGATCTAGAAATCGTTTAAGGTACTCCGCTTGAGAATCGGATCAAAATTGTCCAAGATATAGCCTCCGCAAGGGGTCAAAGTTGGTCTTCCTAGGCAGATGCCCATTTTTGAAGGGATCCCCCTAGAAAAATTTGAAAAAATCGGATCGAAAATTTTGTGTCTAGGTTTTGATGCAGATTTACTCAGAATAGATCTAGAAATCGTTTAAGGTACTCCGCTTGAGAATCGGATCAAAATTGTCCAAGATATAGCCTCCGAAAGGGGTCAAAGTTGGTCTTCCTAGGCAGATGCCCATTTTTGAAGGGATCCCCCTAGAAAAATTTGAAAAAATGGGATCGAAAATTGTTGGTCTGGGTTTTGATGCAGATTTACTCAGAATGGATCTAGAAATCGTTTAAGGTACTTTGAGTAAGAATTGGATCAGAAGTGTTTAAGATATAGCCTTTTCAAGGCCTAACTCATTGTTAGCCAGGAAAAAAGAAAACTCTTAATGCGTATTCATTTTTTTTCCACAGTTTGACCTGATGAACACCAACAGCGAGGTCTCGGCAGCCTGTGGATTAATTTTTGCTCTTTTCTTGCACTTTGTGGTCAGCATTGTGTCGGTTTATCGATGCGCCCTTCAAATTTGCACAAAGTGAGTAATGCAATGCGATTTATCTTTTTTACTCTATAATAAGTGCGGGAAAATGAATAAGGACCTCTGGTTACTAGACATATAAGCATATGGTACATGTTGCCGTACGTGTTTTAAAGTGAACATGAATAAAGTGAAAATAAATTTAAATTTGCGATAGACCGCGCTCCGATTACCCGCGAAACTGTCGAAGGCGTTGCCACGCTTTGGCTTAAGAGTAAAAATCGAAAATCGATTTTTCTTGGAAAAATCGAAACCCTTGCGCCACCTGGGCACTCTGGATATAAAATAGGAAAAATATTAGATCAACAATTGTATTGTTTAATATGTAAATAATAGTGATAAGAAGACAGCTGTGCAGAAATTGGACTGGCGCGAATCGTTTATAAAAGACAGACCTTGGCAAGAGAAGTGCAGCAAACGGATCCTAAATTCCAGAAGGGAAGCAACAGCGCAGCAGCAGCGCAGTCGACGCCTACGCGCGCCGCAAAGTAGCAGCGGAAGTAATAAAAAACAGAAAAAAGTGGGTGAAAAGTAAAAGAGAAAGCGGATACGAAGCAGGAGGAAAGTGCGGAGGCGCAGACGGAGCGGAAGCAGCGGGAGAGCGGAGGGGAATAAGCACGAAAGTCATGCCGCTGGCGGACTCGCAAAAGGATCTCCGCCAGCAGCAGCAAACCCCGCAGCAGCAGCTGAACAGCAACAACAATAATGCAGCCCAGCAGCAGCAGCTGGCGGGGCAGAATCAATCCACAATGGGCTCCATGGGCTTGCAGCTGCGCCAGCGCATGCAGATCACCTCGTCCGGATGCAGTAGTCTGGCGGTCACGCCCATGGAGCACACACCCACCGAGGAGGACGAGGAGAGCGGGAGGGCGGTGACCACGGTGACGTCATCGCAGCGGAGACAGCAACAGGTACAGCAATCGGCCCTGCAGGCTGCGTTGGAGCAGCACCACATCTCCCCGGCCATTGGAACGGAGGAAACCCACCTGCAGTCGAGCAGAGAGAAGGCTTCAGGAAAGAAACTCTGCCCGCCCCCAGAACTAATGGAACTCAGTGACTCCGAGTCCGGTGGCGGGCAGGGAGGGGCTGTCGGCGGAGATGTCCTTGAGCTGAACGAGAACGAGTTCGAGCTGAAGGAGGTTATCAAGGAGGGGCACGACAAGGCCGATCCTTCGCAGTTCGAGCTACTCCGGGTACTGGGAGAAGGCAGCTTTGGCAAGGTGTTCCTGGTCCGAAAAATAATCGGCAAGGACGCTGGAACTCTCTACGCGATGAAGGTCCTCAAGAAGGCCACCCTCAAGGTCAAGGACCGCGTGAGAAGCACCAATGAACGCAAAATCCTGGCCGACGTTGGACATGCCTTCATCGTGCGCCTCCACTACGCCTTCCAAACACCGGGAAAGCTCTACCTGATCCTGGACTTCCTGCGCGGCGGTGACCTCTTTACTCGGCTGTCCAAGGAGGTGATGTTCACCGAGGAGGACGTCAAGTTCTATCTGGCGGAACTGGCTTTGGCCCTGAATCACCTGCACACGCTGGGAATAATCTACAGAGACCTGAAGCCGGAGAACATACTTCTGGACGAACATGGGCACATAGCGCTCACAGACTTCGGGCTATCCAAGCAACCCCTGGACGGCTCGAAGACCTACAGCTTCTGTGGTACCGTCGAGTACATGGCGCCGGAGATAGTGAACCGGAAGGGGCACGACTTTGCCGCCGACTGGTGGTCCTTCGGCGTCCTAATGTACGAGATGCTGACGGGCAATCTGCCCTTCCACGGACAAACTCGCCAGGAGACTATGAACCAGATACTGAGGAGTAAGCTGGGTATGCCGGAGAATCTGTCCCCCGAGGCGCAGTCGCTGCTGCGGGCGCTGTTCAAGCGGAATCCCCAAAACCGACTGGGAGCCGGAGCCCAGGGCATACTGGACATCAAGGCGCACTGCTTCTTCGCCACCATCGACTGGGTGAGATTGGAGCGGAAGCAGGTGCGTCCGCCATTCATACCGGCGGTCAGCCGCGACGATGCCTTCTACTTCGATGTGGAGTATACCTCGAAATCGCCACGCGATTCGCCCGGTGGTCCCATATCCGCATCTGCGCACGAGATCTTCAGAGGCTTTAGTTTCGTGGCCCCAGTTCTGCTGGAAGCCCAGTGCTCGAATGCCGCTTCCAACAGCTGCTCCACCAGCGCCAGTCCGCTGCACATTGCTGCTGCTCCCATTCCAGCCGTGTCAACGGTGGCTCCTTCTATGGCTTCCCGCAGTTTACCCGGAGTCTTGCCGGGTAACTTCCATGCAGAGTACAATCTGCTCCAGGAGCTCGGCCGCGGCACCTTCTCCGTTTGCCGCCTCTGCGAGCACCGCGCCTCGAAAAAGCACTATGCCGTCAAGGTTATCGAAAAGGCGGCAGTGGCCGCCGCCTCCACGTCCGCCGATTGCTGGGAGGAGGTGGAGATTATGCTGAGATACGGAAACCATCCCAACATTGTGACGCTGTACTCCGTGTACGAGGATGCCGGCTCGGCCTACCTTGTGATGGAGCTGCTGAAGGGCGGAGAGCTGCTGGATCGCATCCTGGCCGTGGGCCAGATGTGCGAGAGCGAGGCGAGTGCCGTGCTCCGGACCATAGCCTCGGCGGTGGCCTATCTGCACGAGCACGGCGTGGTGCATCGGGATCTGAAGCCCTCGAACATGATATACGCCAGCATGCGACAAACACCGGAGACCCTGAAGCTCTGCGATTTGGGTGAGTGGCTTAGGGTTTGGGGGAGACTCGCACGATTAATACCAAGCGTAACTTTTCAGGCTTTGCTAAGCAGCTCCGGGCGGACAACGGCCTCCTGATGACGCCCTGTTACACGGCCAACTTTGTGGCGCCGGAGGTGCTGAAGCGGCAGGGCTACGACCTGGCCTGCGACATCTGGTCCCTGGGCGTGCTGCTCTACATAATGCTCTCTGGGAGAACGCCGTTTGCCAGCACTCCGAACGACTCGCCCGATGTGATCCTCAAGCGGATCGGTTCCGGGCACATCGACTTCACCAGCAGTCGATGGGCTCTGGTCAGCACGCCGGCCAAGGATCTGCTGCGCCAGATGCTGCACATCGTGCCGGAGAATCGCCCGACGGCGGCCAATATCCTGGAGCACACGTGGCTGCGCGAACAGTTCGCCAGCGGAGTCCAGCTCACGGAGTACGCTGTGGCGCCCGGATCGCAGCTGTCGATTGGAGCGCAGCAGCAGCAGCAGAACCACATCTCGATGGCACTGCGCGGAGCAGTGGACGCCACATTCCGGGCTATCGCCATACCGCAGGCCGCCAACGTGGGACCCGTGGAGCTGTCGATGCTGGCCAAGCGGCGGGCCAAGGACCGGGCCCAGCTGCACTCCTAATCGTGGGCCGCAGCATCCTGGTGCTTAAGGCGCCAGGCCAAAAGGCAGCTAATCCGGATAGTTTTCCGACTCTATAGTATTCTAATCCACTGCTGTGCCGCGTTTCCCCGCCGGTTCGTGAAACAGAACGGAGGCAGAGGCGGAGGCGGCAGATATGGCAACGGACATGGACAGCCCCTTGGAAGGAATTCCCGCCAGCGCTGTCGCAGCGCCAAGCTGCGGGTAGTCTAGACCTGGCCCGGAATCCGTTCCCGAGGCAATTGTCCGGGTCCTTCCAGTATTTTGACAACAGGTGTTAATTATTTATTTTATACGAAACACAAAAAACATACCAAGATGCCAAGCCCAAGCGCCAAGTTCGTAGGTCGAGTTGGCGTGTATTTATATCCTATATATATATATATATATACATATATATCATCTAATGCTATTTATATAGAGCCTCCTGGGAGGCAGGATGCAGTGCCGAGCAGGATGTGCCGATTGCAGAGTATATTCCGCACTAGAATACAAAACTAATACCTACCGTCACCTTCACGCACAGTTTCAATGAAGATGAGCGCATATTTTTAATTAAACTAATCGTAGATAAATTTTTCAACATCACCGTGTTATTGTTGTTTAACTAATTATTTAAAAATGAAACAAAAAACCCAAAAAAAAAAAATTACATTCTTTACAACAACCACAAAAAAAAAAGGCAAAACCAAAACATTTTATATTAAAACTATTACAATTTTTATCGCCAATCTATGGAAAAAAAAGACCGCAAATAAAAAAAAAATGTATAACGTAACTCGAGATTGTAAAGAAATAATACGCTTCTGAAGAAAATGAATGTAAGAATGTAAGAGTTCCCGCTAATTCTTCTTGGAATGTCAATTTAGCACAAAAACTAATCGAGCGACTAAACTAGTAACACTATGTACATAGCAGGGTATTGGCTGGCAGTGCGTTTCAAAAGCGTAAGACGGCCAAAGATCCCTGATCGCACCCTGTTCGTACCATACACTCTTGAAACGCACTGTCCTGGAGCACACAGTTGTGAATAGAAAATTGGTTTCCCACTTCGCGTTCGCCAATGTCTTCCAACTGAAGTTGTATCGTTCGAACGGCCTACATTATATATAGTATATATTGTAGCTAAGGAGTGCAATTAGGAAAGCTTACTACGCACATATTCAAATATTTGAGAATAACGTTCAGAAAATAAGATTTTTGAAACCTTAACCTTGTAACCCGCTTCCCAATTCCCAGTTCCCAGACACACTAGATGGAAAATTGTCTGTTTTCAGAGATCCAATTTGAAAATTTTTGAAAAAATTGTTGGGCTTATGGTGTGCATGGGTGTCCTGAATGAGTGTGTGTGTGTGTGTGCTGTGCACATGTGTGGGTGTGTGTGAGTGTGCTATAAGATAATGCGCTGTGCCACTACTGAACTTACTGCTAAAACAAACAATAATTGCATATATAATAGTACTATATACACCACATAGAAAATGTTAGTTAAACTTGCAAATTTTTAAAAACCATGATATAAGAAGAGAGGAGGGAGGATGAGAGAGGAGCGGAGCGGATGTTGCGATCAGACGACTATATTATGTATATCCGACATTAGCTAGCTAAAGAGTAGTTACGAGACCACTCACTTGGCCGCCAAAAGTCATATCTGTGGGTGCTGGGTTTTGCCAGATTTTGTACTAAGCGAGTGAGTGCCATAAACTGAAAAAAAAGAATAACAAATAATAACGATTTAAAAAAAGACGGTTTGTTGAAAACTAAATGCTGTGCACACACAAAACTTTGACCGACAGTCCACAAACACGGAGAGCATGTCTTCTAAGCAACCAAATATTTGAACTCTGATTTCCGAGCATCTCCTCCGCCAGAGTCCCAGCCCGGACCTGGTCGATGAAGCTCCTATGAACTCGTAAAGTCGCCAACAAACCCCAGTAAATGGATGCTACATACATATATTTTCTTAGTAGATTTTTACAGCTTCCAGAACTATATATGTATATACATAGGGTCAATGAAATGATGCGAATATTTAACAACAAAATGAAACCTTAATAAGAACAATTTTAATGTAATCGAAATCGATTCCAAAATTATTGTAAAGTTGATTCACAAAGCAAACAAAATAAATAAAATTGAAAAGCCCGAAACCGTGTTCTCATTGTAAACTATCGTGCTCCTATAATCTGGCCAGCGGTTATCGCATTATCTGTGGTGATCCAATAAGCCCAAAGCAAATGAATCACTTTGTCCGGGCCTTATCGTCCGGCAGATAGTGCTATCACCACCGAGCGATAGGCGTACGAGCACTACTAACTTCCCAGGGGTTCAGAAATAGTGACGCATATGCAGCGTTTTTAAATTCTAGACCTAGATAGACCACTAATTTTCAGTTAACAATAATTGTTTTCACTTTATTTAGTTTAAGGTTTAAGGGTATTTTGCAACTTAAGCTACTTAATAATTTCTGGTTTTGTTTTTAATTTCTAGCATAGGTTTGATTTGTGGTAATTGAAAGTGTGCTCCTGCCTCGGGCTTTGTTCATCTTAATGGGCTTTGACTCAGGGTTTATGTTTGGGTTTATCGTCTCAAGTCGTTCGCACTACATCCAGCTTGTTAAGGTATTGGTTTGGATCAAAAATAAATATACTTATTCGTAGCAAGTTAAGTGGATTCTGCTCCCTAGCTCCGGCTGTCTGTACATAAGTTAGTTATGTATAAACTCGAATGTCTTGAGTGGAGTGTAAAAATATATAGATGTTCCCGTCCGCATCTCCTCCGTGTCCGTGTCTGTGCCACGTGGGCTTTGCCTTGCAGCGAGTCCATCTGCGGCTTGCAGACGACCTTGAACTATATTGTATTGCTGTGTGTGTGTGTCTGTGGTGTATATAAATTTGTTGCAGGCAGCACGTCCTAGTGCTTGCCCTTGCCTTTGCGACCCTTTGCCTGATGCTGCCGCGGAGTCGTCGCATCCCTGTTCGATTCGTTATCCTTTTCCTGCTCAGCGGCCGGGGCTGCAAAACTTAGATGTTAGAAATGCTTTATAGAGCTTTTGGTAGACTTACTTTCTGAGGATGCAGTGGCAGTGTCCTCTAATTGCACTCGTTCCAGCGACGGCGCCAGTTCCTCCTCGGGCTCAGGCGCTTTCTCCAGTTTCTCCACACTCTTCTTGGGCTGCGGCGACTTCTTTGGTGTGGTCTTGGCCACTTCATGGACCACCACCTCACCCTCCTCCTCCTCCTCGACCACGTGCGCCTCCTCGGTGATGACACCGTTCAGGACATTGACAGCCTCCTGGGCCATGTTGGCCTGCGCCTGGCGACGCTTCGCCTCGAGATCCCGCTTGTAGTTCTGCGTCCACTCCACATGCTCCTTGTAATACTGGCCAACCGGGATGACAATCACGGATATATCATCGACTGTGGCAGCCGCCTTGCTGTCTGCCAGTCGCCAATGTCCAGAGTCGTTAATTTTCCCGCGGGCTCTGGCCACCAGCTCCTGGGCGACCATTGTGTAACGATGCTTTTCCGTCGGATACTTCGACAGCGTTTGGAAGACTGTCCTGGCGACGGCATCGTTTTCCGAGACATCCCACAGGCCATCGGTGGCCATCACAAGTACACCGTAGTCCCCGTCACGGTTGTCCTCGTCCGGGATGCACACCACTTGGGTCAGGTCGCGCTGCCGCACATCCGGATGGGGTGTGAGGAACGGTTTGATTTGAATGCCCGTGTTGATCGCAAGAAGTTCATGGTCGCCGAAGCCTCGGGTAACCCCCAGGGTGCCCAGAAGCCGGCTCCTCTTTCCCTCGCCATTCACAACTGGAATGCAGAGATCGTCGCGGGTCAGCGTCTTGTACGTCCAACCCCGCATGGTGCCCTGCCGGCAGAGGATGCGCTGGCCCATATCCTTTATGTGCGGCCGCTTGGCGTACTCCATGGCCACGTACTGGTTGCCCATGAGGTGTGGCTTAAGTCTGGCCACGTTCAGCAGCCGTTCTCGCTCTGTTTCGGGAGTGTGGTCCGCGCTAAACGGCACTGGATAGCAGTTGGCTTCTAGCGGATCGGGTACTATGCCCGCCTCTGCTTCCTGTTCCTTTTGGTTCTTCTTCAGTGTAGCCTTGCGTTGACAGAGCACGGCGCGAGAGTCTCCAGCGTTCGCCACGTACATTTTTCCATCAATAAATAGGGAAACACAAGCGGTGCACCCGCCGGCGTCCCTATATCGGTCACTGTCCTGCGCTATTAGCGAATCCATGTTGAAGAACGCACTCTCCAACGCTCCGACGATCAGCTCGTCCTTGGTGACCCTTCGCTGGAAGTAAATGGGATGCGGAAACGTAGGATTCAGCTTTCCGCCTTCGGCACCTCCTGCGGGGGACTCCGAGTCGCGCGGAAGCAGTAGCTCCAGGCAGTCGACCAACTTCTCGTGTAGGATGTGATGAAACTGGTGGCTAGCAGCCAAGGCAGCTCCATAGCCAGCATGACCATCGAATATGCCAAAGTATGTGTATGGGAGATCCGGATGCTTGTGTTCCGGATCGGAGAGGACTTGTCTGCAAGATGGAATACCATTATACCATTGAAAGCTATTCAGGTCTGTAATGACTCACCGGCAGAAGGCACCCTGGTCCTCGTTCCACTCTGATTTTCCGGAGTTCACGCACTCCGCGTAGCCCGTGCCCCAGGGCAGAAGGTTTATGTCCCTGGGCACAATAATGGGCCGAACATTGTGATCCGCCGAGGCGCGCAGCTCGTCCGGAGTCAACAGCTGCAGAAAAGGCGGCCTGGCATACGGAAACTTGTCCGGCATCTGCTGCCCTCCGCCGAATCTGGAACGCCCTCCATGCGAATTGTGGTGGCCGCCGCCAGAACTGCCGCTCCGTTCTCCGGTGCCCGGCAGCGGCGGCAGATCCGGCACAATGGCCGATATGAAGCGCTCCTTGAAGTTGCTAAACATTTTAATACCTTTGTTTAGAGGGAGCTAGCCCCCTCCCTTTCGCACTAGCTTATCCTTATCCTATCGACAGGCGCCTTCTCGCTCCCACTCCCACTGACGTGGCGAGCTGGTGTTTTGCTTGTATCTTCCGCTGTTTCGTCCGCTCCGTGATTTCGATCGATTCCCGGCAGATACGCCGTGAGACTGGATACGGAAGGCCTGAGGCTTCGCGATCGGATTGGCCAATGATGCAATGGTTGCCCCGAAGCACGCAGATTTCACTGTTTTGCCTGTTTGCAGAAGGGGGGTGTCGAAAATATATATTCATATCGAAATATCAATATTTTCTCTCACAACAGACATATCGCCAACATATCGTAATATTTTTCGGGTATTTCGGATTTGGTCACACTCGAGCAGTTTATATCGATATTTTTCATTTAAAAATACCAATACATACGATGTACTGCTTGCAAATATACTAAACTGGGCGGGTATTTCAATTTAAAAAAAAAACGGCTAAATCTCGAGCTTAACAATTTCCGTATTTTTATTTAAAGATCGGAACACAGCGAACTTCGGGACGTTATTATTAAGTCCAATTCCACCGGAATACCTTTGGACCAGCAGAAAGTGGATCAGTACATCAAGGCAGTTTCTCTCAACGGTAGCGAGAAGGTACGATATTCTTTTCTGCAGCCATGGATTTTCTTTTACGAAGCTTTTTTTTACCAAAAGGTAAACTCTGAAAAGTTGGCCGCCATGTGGATGTACGCCACCCAAATGGGGAGCTACCCACCTTCTTCGGTTCGCAAACTGACGCCTCCTTCTCGACCCATCATGCTGATTCCCTCGACAGCGGGCAGTGGGGTAAGTGGACTAGAATCTCCCGGTGGACAATCCATTTAATCTGCTAACTCTCCATTTTCAGATGGCGCCGCCACCACCCACTCGCCTACCGCCGCCACCGCCCGGCACCGGAGCGGGATTACTGCTGCCAGTTCCCCCACTGCCACCGCAATACCGCGGAATGACTCTGCCCGCCTACATGCGTCCGCCTCCCATCCCGGGCTCCGTCCTTTATGCCCATCCCGCCAGCCTGAGCGGCACATATCGCACCCACAAGAGCACCAAGTCGGCGGAGATCAATGGGCAAAGACGACGCCGGCGGGCGGGAAAGTCGGATGCCAATCGTCGCCAGCGTCGCAAATCGGAGGCGGATGTCCTAGATGGTGCACCCAACTTCCAGTACACGGGTCTGGATCGAGCCATAGCCGATAGCTTTCTGGCCCGGCAAGAGCAATCCCAGGCGGGCAGTCACATCGATTATTCGTCCTCCGCATCGTCGGACTTGTACGGCGGCCAGCAGCGCGCCTCTTCCAAAACGAAGATTGTCTGTCGGGATGTCGTGATGTAGGAGGCCCCCATAAAGCATGACAACCGGAGCTACATCCTCACTTTTGTACATAACTTTCCACTGGCCAGAGCCCTGGCTAGACACAAAGAAAATATTCTTTTTTTTAGAACTATCGCTAACTCTGTCTCTGATCCTTCTCCATATGCGTATTAACGTTAAGTCAGTTATCAATATGAATCGAAAATGTTATATTAAACATATATATGTGTATATGCTATACATTCAAAGAAAATGTTCATTCTTTCATAGTTGGGACCCAAAAAAAAGACCGTAGAAAATAAGTCCGCCCGAGTGTAAATCCTTAAAAGTCCTCATCGCTGTGGTGCTCCGTTTTGTTCGCTGTTTTCGGACGCAGCGGCAGTTCTCCGGTTAATTTCGAAATGCTGATGTCATCGATAGAGTTCAGGTCAACTAGATTGAAGGTGGAGAAGGAATTAATACCGCTAAAACTACACATAATGCTGGGGTCCTCACAATCATCGTCCCCTGCACCCAGGGCCATGCCTGTCATCCCGCTGATGCCACTGATGCCGCTGATTCCGCTCAGCCCGCTCATGCCCATGATTTCGCCCACATCCAGCTCGCTGTCCGAGCTGCCGAAGCTGCTGTCATCGTCCCGGGAATCCAGCATACTGCTACCAGGACCGTTGCGTCCATTACGGGTGGCGCCGCTCGCTCCAGCACCTTCTCCTGGTTCTCCAGCAGTCGTTGCTCCAGCTCTTCCTCGCCGGGTGCCTCTATCGCCTCTGCCTCCTTCGGCGCCAACTCCTGGGGGGAAATATAAGCTTTGAGATTAGTTCCAACATAACCCAAACCAACACCTACCTCCTGTGGCCCCTTTCCGGCTCCTTCCAGTGGTGGGCCTCATCCTGGAGGTGGCCGTTCCTGGTCTCTTACTCTGTCCAGGGTTTAAGCCATTCTGCTGCAGTAGCTTGTCCTCATCGCGTATGTCCGGTATCTCGGAGTCCAAACCGAAAACACTGCGGCCATTTACAACCATTTCGAGGCCCGGGTTCGACATGCCTTCGCCAGCATCCTCGCCGTCGTCATCATCGTCCAGGTCGTCGTCGTCGTCATCGTCCTCGATGAGGCCTTCCGGGATAAAGGGCATGGAACTTTCGGCTGCCTTTTGCAAAACCGGAGAGGCAATGGGCGTGGCCCTTTTGGTGCGGGCCTCCAGCTGGAATCGCAGCGCATCACGGACGTGAAGGCGAAGAAAATACCGCTGGAACAGCTGCTGCAGCTCCTTTTCGCAGTCCTCGAACTCCGCCATGTGAGCAGGACGGATTCGATGCAGTGCCTCCAGTCTCTGGCGAGTCCTCTCCAACTCAGCTTTCCGGCGCTGTAGCTTAGATCCCAGGGCATTCAACTCCACTCGCGTGGCTTCCAGTTGGGCTTTGCTGGACTGTAACTTGAGTTGATTCGATTGAATGGCATTCTTCAGAGTTCGCTCCACGGTCAGGAGCTCCAAAGGACGCTGAGCCTGGGCCGTCCTGGCCTCCTTGTTGAGCAGCTCCTTGGAGAGCAGATCATAGAGTGCAGCTCCCCGCTGGGTCAAGTCCGTGGCTAGTTCCCTAGCCTTACGCAGATCCTCCATTTTGTCGCCTATATCCACGGGGTTAAGGCTCCGGTACTGATCCATTTGCTCCTCATCCTCGTGATTAGTCTCCGTTTGGCCTCCAGGAGTTGTCAGAAGTCGGGTTATCTTTTGCAGCTCAGCGGCAGTAACCGAGGCTGCAGCGTAAAGTTTTCGGGGGTTTAAGCGAATGGCCGCCTTGGTGACGAAAAACTCGGTGGCGGAACGCACTAGCAACACCCTCTGCTCCTCGGATTCCACGCCGCCGGGTAGAGAGGAACCGGGTTCCATTAGACCAGCCAGCCATTGCAGCAGTTCGGCCACGATGTGGAAGCTGGCCAGACTGCCATGGGGACTAGCCAACGCCTGAAGTGGGAAAACCCGTGGGAACCCCAACAGCTTCAGCTGCTCGCCGAGATCTACCCAATACAAATAATTAAATTATTTTAATGAAGACGATTGGAGCAACTTACCTCGCACATCCTTGAACGACATTCCAGTTTCTGTTCCTGTTCCGCTTCACCTGGTTTAGCTGCGCCGGCTGCGATGGCCTATGGCATTTTCCATGCCAACATTTGTTGTGGCCATTTTCGACCGTGTTTGGGCCACTAGTGCCCAATTTAAAGGTTGCCAGGCAACGCACAACACTGAACCAAAATCAATAAGTTTCCAAATTAGTAAAAATTATTTAAAAATGAAAAAATATATTAAATATGGAAGTATTTAATAAAAAAAATTATAGAGGCAGCTAAATCAGGCGCTAATTGAAATAGTTTAAACGTACTTTTTCAAATAAAAATACATTTTAAACTATCTCCAGGCTAAAATGCTTTTCAATGAGCTCTTGAATATAAAATATCGCTGTTAAATATGCAGCTATTTTCTGTTAATTTACATTTCAGATAAGTAACGGCCATCGCTTTGAGAATCAAAAAACGCCCAAAATTCATGTAACTAGCACCTGAAGTACCAGGCGAACAGGAACCGGAAGTAGGTGGATGCAGGAACTTTTTTTCAGTGTGCCCCTCTAAGACCAAAAACTGCAACAAAAGAAACGGCAATGAGGCGTTATTCGGGATTTTCTACATTGGTCGATTGGCATCGACTGTTACAAAAGCCCGCCATAATTAACCTCCAAACTCGACCGCCTAATGTTCTCTGTTCTTCTGCTGGAATGCTGGATACTAGCATTTTCAAGCGATTTGGTGCTTCTTTGATGCATTTTGGCCAACTTCTTGAGGTGGTAGGTGTTATTTTCTTATATTTATTAATCTTAAAAAAAAGTCTTAATCTTCTTAAAGTTAGGCATCAATTAAATACATTTTTGGTTTCATTTTTATGTTGTTCGCAGTTTGAAACACTAACTCCTCTAAAATTCATGATCGTTAATGTTTAAATATAAATTCCTGGAAATATTTTTAGGTATTTAAGGAGGCCTGCCAGTTTCAGTTGAACAGCTTGAATTCTGTTCACTTTTTCACTTTACCTGCCATTCAAACTACGAAGTAAGCTCCAGATAAAATTCAAAAAAAATTTCTAATTCTGCAAGAAAAAAATCATCCATAAGTTATGGGCCCACGTAAGCGTGTCTCCAGAATTGGCTCACGCCTTGTGGCGGCGGATAAGGAAAATTTGACCAGCGTCGCTACCCAAACTGACATTGTTGGGGAAATGCCGGGCGGCCCGGCCAAGCGTATGAAGATGACCCCGACATCCAAGCAGCACTCCCCATTGCCAATTTCCGACAACATATCGAACGGCATCAACAAGATGTGCCAAACCGAGGAGCCGGGCTCCACAGATAGAATGGGTGGGAGGGTTATTAAGGCACGCGGCGGTTTTATTGACCAAATCGACCATCTGAAAACGCTTATGGTGCAACGCCGAGCTGAGGCCATTGATTTGGACCGGCAGCGCTTAGCCACGATGATCAAGGCAGTTAACTCTGATCCGCCGCCGTGCTGGCAAGCGGCATCCAAGATTTGGATCGAGATAGACAAGCTGGAGAAGCGCATTAAGCGATACGATGCCAACGAGGCGCTAAAGAATGGAAACAATAAGAATGAGACCCCAGGATCTTCAGGATCTTCAGGATCTTCAGGATCTTCAGGATCTTCAGGATCTTCAGCTATCAAGGAGAATAGCTCTCTAGGATCCTCAGGATCTGAACCAACTGCCTAAAGCTCTACCTCTGTATTTGATTTATACTTAAGTTATCTGTAATAATCAATACTTTACGCTAATTAACTACCTTAAAATGTTAAAGAGATGCATTAAAGATGATATATCATACAATATAAAAATATACTATTTTAAGAATTTCTATATATCTAGTTTAAATATGTACCAATTTTAAATTTTCCGCATTCATAGGGAGGAGCCGAATAAGGTTGCCACTAAGTCGATAACGATAACTATACAGATGTACAACTCTGGTGGCCAGCTGTTTACTCTTATGTATTGGTAGGTGTATGTTCGTGTAGATTTATTCATAGCCCCAAAAAGAAAATTGCGAGTTTCGGGGATGCAAGATATAATTTTATATAAGTCTAGCGTGTTTGCACACAAGTAATATTCACATCGGAGCTACATCGAGCGTTCTGTGACCAAATCCCCAGCCCCCGCAACTGCATAGTGGAAGAGAGGAGTGTGTATGTGCGTGCTCTGCTGGCTGTGTATGTGTGTGAGGTTTAGGTGTGCGTAAATGAAAAACCAGCAACTGTGAAAATATAACCAAAAATAAGGCCCAGTAGATTCCGCCTTTCACAGAGAGCAAACCAGGCGGGTATCCCTCGGAACGACAGAAGCTTCAGCACTAAAATCGGTAGGCGGTGAGCAATTAGAAGACCCCACTCTCAGTACACAGAATACATCCAAACTTTTGGAACCTTCCGATTCTTGCAGCAGTAGGCCAGGATGGCGGATGCCCAGGCAGCGGCCCCAGCAGCTTTAACGGCCACTAAGAAAAAGTTCAAAAACAAAAAGAAGGCTGAAAAGCTGGAGAAATCTTTGGAGCCACAACCGTCCAGTAATGGACATGCCCCGGAGGCAGGATCCGAACCGGAGCTGAATGGCCTGCTCCAGCAATTGCATTTGTGCAACGGCCACAGCAGCGGCGCCGTCAAGGAACAGTCTCCGCAACCGGCTGAGGATGATGAGGCGGCCACGCCCCTAACCGTTTTGAACGGCCATCACAGCAACAATAATCACATACGATGCAGTAGCACCACAAAAAGCAGTTTCCACAACAACAACGTGGATAGCAGCAACAACAATAGCAAGAGGATAGATCACCTCCAGCAGCAGGAGAGGCCTATAACCGCTTCGAGCAAAACCACTGCCAATACACAAACCACCACGACCACAGCAACAGCTACAAAGACAACAGCGGCAGAGGCAGCTACAATGGAGACGACGGGGAGTAGCCAAGCTAAGGAGCCGGTGGAAAACCTGCCCTCCACTTCAGCAGAGGCTGTTGCCATTCCGGCGGAGCCCCAGCAGCCAGAACCTGCCATTTCAGCCGACAAGATTGTGTACAAGGAGTACGAGGCGGAGCACCAAATGCATGTAAGTGAACATTTTCGACATACAGTCTATAAAGTTAAATTAACTTAACCCCCAATTACTGCAGGACATCATGCGACTTATTCAGGCAGAGTTATCCGAGCCCTACTCTATATACACTTATCGCTATTTTATTTATAACTGGCCAAAGCTTTGCTTCCTCGCGTCGCACGACAATCAGTACGTGGGCGCCATCGTGTGCAAGCTGGACATGCACATGAATGTGAGGCGCGGGTATATTGCGATGTTGGCCGTGCGTAAGGAGTATCGCAAGCTCAAAATTGGCAGCACACTGGTCACCAAGGCTATAGAGGTGTGTATACATCCGTTCGGTATACACAATTTATCATAATTTCGTCTCATTCACCCATTCAGGCCATGCTGGCGGACAACGCCGATGAGGTGGTGCTGGAAACGGAAATGCGAAACGAGCCTGCATTGCGGTTATACGAAAATCTTGGCTTTGTGAGGGACAAACGGCTGTTTCGGTACTATCTCAACGGAGTGGATGCACTGCGGTTAAAGCTATGGTTTAGATGAGTGCCGCTGGCGGCTGCCGTCGAAATTGTTGTCTAAGTAGCCGCCGGTCCACATGGCAAGCTTTGCACTCCGGAGAACCGTTCGTCCTTGCAAGCTGGCAGCTTATTGCAGAGCGGCGACCCTCGACTTTTTTGTACCTATTTAATGAGAAGCATCGTAGTATCAGTTTTTTTTTTCCTTCCACCACCTACCTATCATCCCTCGCCCCTTCTAGGCGTTCACCTTGTGACTGCCCAGTCTTTTTTCCAATTGTACATTTTTTTTTTAATGTAGCAGAAGCAACAAATCAGCCACAAAATGAACCCGACCCAGAACTTTATTAATTATACAAAGGCAATTTTACATGCAATACGTGATTTACCATGCATAAATTAAACTCTAAATTCGTAATCGTGCAATTAGTTATGTACATTTGAACAAACATAAGGGCGAAAAACAGTAACACACAAAACTATTACCCGTAGAATCAAATTTTGTAAAAAGATTGAACCAGGAAGTGGAGCATGCTATTGGGAATTCTAATAAACTATGCGAAGTTATGTTAATCGGATTTTGCAAAAAAACAAAACGAAATTGGATCAAAGAGCAAAGAACAGAATAACACTCGACTCGTACACAAAAGCATATTGTAGCGATATATATACATACAATACATACATTACACCTGTATAGGTTAAATAGTGATCCGAGGATAGCGACGAGGATATGCCGAATCCCCGATTAAATTAAAAAAAGAATGCAATAAAACTAAACAAAAATTAACCTCGTAGCTCGTTTGTATTGGAAGGTTTCCCACGACCAAAAAGTAATCCTTAGCCAACCATTTAGTAATCAGCGAACCCAAAAGCAACTTTCCTCATTCAAAACATTGTCTAAATTGCGTTTTTTTAATTTTTCGAAATTTTTCCAAGGGGTCTGCCTACAAAATTGTGGGTTTTCCTGATTTCCCCACTTTTGGTCCTTCCGATGGCCACAGCTCTGGCAATTTGTATCCGATCAGGAAATCAAGTACCATTTAGTAATCAGCGAACCCTAAAGCGACTTTCCTCATTCAAAACATTGCCTAAATTGCGTTTTTTTAATTTTTCGAAATTTTTCGAAGGGGTCTGCCTACAAAATTGTGGGTTTTCCTGATTTCCCCACTTCTGGTCCTTCCGATGGCCATTGCTCTGGCAATTTGTATCCGATCAGGAAATCAAGTACCATTAAGTAATCAGCGAACCCTAAAGCGACTTTCCTCATTCAAAACATTGCCTCTAAATTGTTTTTTAATTTTTCGAAATTTTTCCAAGGGGTCTGCCTACAAAATTGTGGGTTTTCCTGATTTCCCCACTTTTGGTCCTTCCGATGGCCATAGCTCTGGCAATTTGTATCCGATCAGGAAATCAAGTACCATTTAGTAATCAGCGAACCCTAAAGCGACTTTCCTCTTTCAAAACATTGCCTAAATTGCGTTTTTTAATTTTTCGAAATTTTTCGAAGGGGTCTGCCTACAAAATTGTGGGTTTTCCTGATTTCCCCACTTTTGGTCCTTCCGATGGCCATAGCTCTGCTTATTTTTATCCGATCAGGAAATCAAGTACCATTTAGTAATCAGCAAACCCAAAAGCGACTTTCCTCATTCAAAACATTGCCTCAAAATAGTTTTTTAATTTTTCGAAATTTTTCCAAGGGGTCTGCCTACAAAATTGTGGGTTTTCCTGATTTCCCCACTTTTGGTCCTTCCGATGGCCACAGCTCTGGCAATTTGTATCCGATCAGGAAATCAAGTACCATTTAGTAATCAGCGAACCCTAAAGCGACTTTCCTCATTCAAAACATTGCCTAAATTGCGTTTTTTAATTTTTCGAAATTTTTCGAAGGGGTCTGCCTACAAAATTGTGGGTTTTCCTGATTTCCCCACTTCTGGTCCTTCCGATGGCCATTGCTCTGGCAATTTGTATCCGATCAGGAAATCAAGTACCATTAAGTAATCAGCGAACCCTAAAGCGACTTTCCTCATTCAAAACATTGCCTCAAAATAGTTTTTTAATTTTTCGAAATTTTTCCAAGGGGTCTGCCTACAAAATTGTGGATTTTCCTGATTTCCCCACTTTTGGTCCTTCCGATGGCCATAGCTCTGGCAATTTGTATCCGATCAGGAAATCAAGTACCATTTAGTAATCAGCGAACCCTAAAGCGACTTTCCTCTTTCAAAACATTGCCTAAATTGCGTTTTTTAATTTTTCGAAATTTTTCGAAGGGGTCTGCCTACAAAATTGTGGGTTTTCCTGATTTCCCCACTTTTGGTCCTTCCGATGGCCATAGCTCTGCTTATTTTTATCCGATCAGGAAATCAAGTACCATTTAGTAATCAGCAAACCCAAAAGCGACTTTCCTCATTCAAAACATTGCCTCAAAATAGTTTTTTAATTTTTCGAAATTTTTCCAAGGGGTCTGCCTACAAAATTGTGGATTTTCCTGATTTCCCCACTTTTGGTCCTTCCGATGGCCATAGCTCTGGCAATTTGTATCCGATCAGGAAATCAAGTACCATTTAGTAATCAGCGAACCCAAAAGCGACTTTCCTTATTCAAAACATTGCCTAAATGGCGTTTTTTAATTTTTCGTATTATTGTTTGAATAATTCTAGTTTGTTTGAATGGGTTTGTTTTTATCTAGGTTATTTGTCAACCGATCGGGAAGCAAAGTACCATTCCTGAATCAGGACCTTATTGTCCTTCGAACTGCATCATAGAATCTTTGTTAAATCCTGAACCATATCGTTAATGGCGATGCTGATCCTTTTCTAAAATATGATAGCCGGTCGAACTGTTGTTGTTGGATTTCGAAAATCCTTTGATGCAGATCGAAGGATATTTATGTCCTGATTCAACAATTATATTCCATTCTAATATCGGTTTAAAAAAGACCGAGATATGAACAAACCAATATATGGAAATATATTTCCAAGTCAAATTTCGTTACCATTCGATCTTAACTTGGCCAATACCAGATTTTGTTAGCCAAATGTTCGAGCCGTGTTTTTCTGCATTTTATGACATCCCACAATCCGGGCTTAAATTACAAATGGCCGAGTTATTCACAAAAAACCGTCACGGATTGAACTTTAAACTTTTCAAAAAGCTTGGGCGGGCGGGAACTTTTTTGAATTTAAATTTAAATAAAACGGATCGTATTTCGGATCCACAGGCGCGGGCGGGAAACTTATTTTTTGAATTTGAATTTGAATTTAACGGATTTCGATCAACTTACAACCCACATATGTCCCACATAGGATCCACACAGATCCCACATAAGTTCCACACATGTCCCACATAGAATCCACACAGGTCCCACATAGGATCCACATACCACCAAAGACACGAACCGGTTCAGCCAAGACACCAACCAGTGGATCAAAGCTCAACCCGTGACGTCACGGACTTTCGAGGCTGAACATTTTTAAGTTTCCGGCCCCTGGAGTACCAGGCGAACAGAAACAGGTAGTAGGTGGATTATATTTTTTGAAACAGTTTTTTGTGAATAACTCGGCCATTTGGCATCTAAGCCCGGATTGTGGTATCTCATAAAATGCAGAAAAATACGGCCCATCTAACTGGCCAACAAAATCTGGTATTGGCCAAGTTAACACGGAGTGGTAAAGAAATTTGGCTTAGAAATATATTTCTATAAATGGATTTGTTTATATCTCGGCACTTTTTCAACCGATTTTAAAATGGAATATAATTTTGGAATCAGGACATGAACATCCTTAGATCTGCTTCAAAGGATTTTCGAAATCCAACATCAAAGTGTCGAGCAAAAATCATATTTAAGGAAAGGATCAGAATAGCCATTTCAGGATTTAATGAAGATCCTTTGATGCAGTTCGAAGGACATTACGGTCCTGATACAGGAATGGTACTTTGATTCCCGATCGGTTGGAAAATGACCGAGTTATAAACAAACTAACTTTTAAAAATAAATATCTAAAACAAATTTGTTAGCCACTCCGTGTTAACTTGGCTAATGCCAGACATTGTTAGCCAGGTAGATGGCCCGTATTTTTCTGCATTTTATGACATCCCACAATCCGGGCTTAGATGCCAAATGTCCGAGTTATTCACAAAAAACAGTTTCAAAAAACAGAATCCACCTACTATGCGTTTCTGTTCGCCTGGTACTCCGAGCCTGGTAGCGGGCCGAAATCCACTTTTTTTCGGAGGCGAAAAAAAAGTGCAAGTCATTCTTTTTGTTGTTTTTGTTGTTGTTGTAGTTTTTGTTGTAGTGTTGTTGTTGTAGTTGTTGTTGTTGTAGTTGTTGTTGTTGTAGTTGTTGTTGTTGTTGTAGTTGGTGTTGTTGTTGTAGTTTTTATTGTTGTTTTTGTTTTTTTTAATTAAAATTACAACAAAAAAATACAACAACAAAAATTACAACAATTGCTAGAGATGAGAAATTCAAAATTATTTCTTAGAGGTGAGAAATTTGAAAGTTGTTATCGTATCGATCGATCTCTAGTATCGGCTAGAGATGAGAAATTCAAAATTATTTCTTAGAGGTGAGAAATTTGAAAGTTGTTTTCGTATCGATATTTTTAGTTCTTTTTGAGGTGGGAAATTCAAAATTATTTTTAGAGGTGGTAAATGTAAAATCTCGATAGCTTATCGATTTTTTTAGGTCTTTTAGTGGTGGAAAATTCAAAAATCTAGAGGTGATAAATTTAAAGGCTTGGCAGCTTATCGATAGTTTTAGTTCAGTTGGAGATGGGGAATTCAAAAACCTTTAGCTTATCGATGTTTATAGACTTAAAACTTACATTCAGTTTGCAAGACGTGCGAGATATTTTCTTAAGACTGGAGCAATAGCTCCTAGTTTATCCCATTCCATTGTTTTGTTAGATCATAGAAGACTATTGGATTCGCATTGCCAAATAAAAAGCATTTAGAATATTTTTTGGCTTTATTACCATGAAAAAAAGAATTCAATGACTTACTGACTGCTCATTAATTACCTATAAAATCATGAAACCAACTTTAGATTGCATCAGGAAGGTCATTTAAGGCTTTACTTCTGGACATCTGACAATTTTGGTTTATTCGTCATAGAAACACGATGGAAATACTCAACATGGGCTTCATAAAAGCTTAGACTTATGTATCTAACATTATGAACAACATTTACGCCGGGACAACTCCCTATTATTTACATATGGCAGGAAGTGGTATCCTTTATCACCTGCTACTCCTCCGACTGTTTTTGGTCGGAGTGGAGGACCCTCGGATTTGCTTGAGTTCCGTTCGCGTGGCGGTCTTGATGCCCTGCACCTGTTGCCGTACCGCTACGCTTTTGTATGTAATCGGGGGACTGGAAGAGGAAGTTGGACTATGCGGCGTGGAAGGATTGGGTGTCAGTTCCTTTTGCTCGAAAAGATCACTAACTTCCACCATGCGCGGCTTAAAGAACATGTTCGGCCTTATCAGTGGCTTTTCCGGATGCTTGAAGAGATTTAGCAGACCCCAAGAGTGCTCCTGTCGTTCGCCCTCGCCCACAGGCAGGGCCACGTTTTCCACTTCGGACTCCAACACCCAAGCCGCGTTCCTTACTTCAATGCGCAGTCGCTCGCACTCTTCCATGCTCACGTTCTTGCTTACGTTTAGCAGCTGCTCCAGTGGGTTCACAATGTACATGGCCGAGTGGTCTGGCTTGGATAGTGCCCGACCCTCGTTTAACGATATCGCCCTATTGTGGAAGTCGAACTGCGAGTAAAACTCGAAGAACTGCAGTAGGAGTTCACTCAAGGAGCTCTGATTGCGACTGCGGAACCCCAGCCGATCCATGTCGCGAGCAAAGGTGCAGTTTATTCCGTCTTCTGTGACCCGTGAGTCGGCCTGTTCTGCCGCCTTGGCTAGGGCTCCAATGGTGGGCAGAATGGGCTGTCGTAACTGCTGCAGAAAGAACATGACCAGGCAGGTAAGCGAGAAGTTGCTGATCCAGCGACCCGGCGATGGATTCGTCAGTCCACAGCTCTGCGCCCATCTCCGGATGCTGAAGGTCAGTGGACGCACGCGAGGATCTAGTTCGCCAAACATGTACAGTAGCTCAGACATGTAGAAGCCAGTGCTGCAGGAAGAACAAAAAACAGGGTGTCCAAATAAGATATATTTCCAGAACATATAACCATAAAATCTGCAAAGCCCCCCCAACTCTTTATCAAGTGTGGAAAACTGACCCCCACCACTGGGCCGGATATGATGATGAGTGCAGCCCGGGGGGAGTGAATCATGGCCATCGGCATGCTAACACCGCGAGAGGCACCTGAATCACCTGCCCCAGAGAGCTGTTACAAGGCATTTGGCAATCGCCACTTGCCGCCGCCCTCGCTATCTAATCTTATCGAGCTGCGGAGCTTTCTTATCTGTGGCTCTGGTCCGCTCTCTGGCCTGAATGTTGTCACCCATTTATCGGGCTGGGCCACAACGATTTCAACGAAGGAAGCCAACGGATCTCTGGTTATAACCCCGGTTCCGTGACTACACAAATATCTTTTTTTTTTTGGTGATCCAAGCGAAACGAAAACAAAACGAGGTGAATCTCGGGTGAAAATCTAATAGAAACGTGGGCAAAAGACGATGGTTTATTTTTTTGCAAGTAAAAAGACGTGAAAATCCTGTTTTGGCCTTAATATCCCCCACAAAAGATGTTAAACCACAAAAGGGACAAGAAGATAATCCTTAGAAAGGTTTATCCTGCCCAGAAAGATGTCCCTGTCAAAGTTTTCCCCATTGAAACCATTGCGTGTTGCAACTTGGCATTCGTGTTGGTATTAATCATCTAGTGCGTGCTGATAAGGCTATTTGCTAAACACACTGTTCCCCGATAAGGCCAAAAGCGGTACTATGACGAGGGGGAAAGCAGGTGGAAGCCAGGGGTCTACAATAAAGCCAACAATATGATTAATAAACGCGGCTAGGGCAGGGCAAGTGGTTCGTGGATGACTCAAGGCAAAATTGGAAAAACAGGGACTTAACCCGATGCAAGTTGATTGATTCTGAGGTCCTCATCACATCCTCTTTCTATTTCAGACATGGGCATCGGCTACGGAGCCTCCGACGAGCAGCTGGAGAAGCAGATCGGCTGCGTCAAGTACACCCTGTTCTGCTTCAACATCGTGGCCTGGATTATTTCCACGGCACTGTTCGCCCTGACCGTCTGGCTGAGGGCCGAGCCCGGCTTCAACGACTGGCTGAAGATCCTGGAGGCGCAGTCATTCTACATTGGCGTCTATGTGCTCATCGGCATCAGCATCGTGATGATGGCGGTCAGCTTCCTGGGCTGTCTGAGTGCCTTGATGGAGAATACGCTGGCGCTATTTGTGTTCGTCGGCACCCAGGTGTTTGGATTTATATCAATTGTGGCCGGATCTGCGGTTCTGATGCAGTTCAGCACCATGAACTCGAGTCTGCAGCCGCTGCTGAATGTTTCCCTGCGGAGGTTCGTCTCCACTTCAGAGTACACCTACTCAAACTATGTTCTGACCATGATCCAGGAGAATATCGGCTGCTGCGGCGCCTCCGGCCCTTGGGACTATCTGGATCTGCGACAGCCGCTTCCCAGCTCCTGCCGCGACACCGTCAGCGGCAATGCCTTCTTCAACGGCTGCGTGGACGAGCTGACCTGGTTCTTTGAGGGCAAGACCGGATGGATCGTGGCCCTGGCGATGACCCTGGGTCTGCTGAATGTCATTTGCGCCGTGATGAGCTTCGTACTGGTCCAGGCAGTCAAGAAGGAAGAGGAGCAGGCCAGCAACTACCGCCGCTAGAGCTCAAATGAAAACCCCAACCCATTCGCATATCCTAGTTAGCTAAGTTATTAGAGTACGACGACAACGAAGACAATCGAAAGACCCTGCGATAGATATAAGCCTCCAACCATTTCGAACAATAGGTACAATAAAGATTGCGATCCCTACACAGAAGTGGTTTCTTGTTTAAATCGGACAGAATTATGGTTCCCTCGAATGCCCTCTATGGGTAAACAAGAACTCCCCTTATAGCCAGCTTCGGTCTGCCATACTCACAGGTTACTCATGGACAAATCCACCTCCAGATTAAGATGTTCATGATGGTACTTGATGATAGGAACGCGGGCCTGTAGGATGCGCCTCACATGGCAGACGCCGGGCAGGAAGAGGTGGAGCATGTCCCCGAAGCACTCCATGTGCCGCTGGGTTTGCGAGCGTCCGTTGCTTAGGTTCTCCTTGGTGTGAAAGACTAGTCGCGAAGGATCAGTGTTCGCCAGACTTTTCTGCGATCCGGTGTCGTCGTTGAAGCGCAGGATCAGGTCCAGATCGCAGCCCATTTTGCCAAATCCGTTCACTGACGACCCGAACGGCTGAGCCTGAGCAGAGGGGAACATTCCGGAGATGGCCTGCTGCACCTGCAGCGCTGCCAGGAATCTCAGACGTATGCCCAAGTCGTTCAAGCGTGTGTGTTTGTGCAACAGAAGTACCTGTTCGTCAATACTCTGAGCACCGCGCACTAAAGCCAGGAGCTGAGACGACTCCATCAGCCGGCCACCATCTAGAGCGCTCAGCGCCGGGAAGGTATCACTGGCCGCCAGATTGGGAGTCCGTTTACTGCCCGCCGGGGGTGCCCGGAACCAAAGGAAAGGTGATCGAACAGGCACTCCACACAGGTCCCCATTGCTAACGCCAGAGTCTATGGCTGCCGCAGCCTCTCCAGAAGAGGAATACTCTAGCAGCACGTAGTGCAGAGCCTCGTCCTGGCGCACGCAGTAATGGTGGGCTCCTAGGATTGATCCAAACCGGCTACAGTAGTTATACAACTCCGGATATGATTTCTCCGAGCTCACTTGGACTACAATACTGCGCTGGGCCTGCTTCTGCTGGTGGCCGATGAACTCCTCGTAGCTGAGCTTAGTAGCTGCAAGCGTAGACGCATTTATAAGACGAACCAATCGTGGAAAGAAGCTAGAACTCACCTGCATTCCGGTTCGCGGAAGCCGCATCGGTGGATCTGTGTTTTACGCAAGAATTTCGCCAGAGCAGCAGGTTCTGGCTGCGGCGCATGAGGCAGTTCATGGCGGGTGTTTGGATGACTGGAGGCAAGTCTTAGCAGATCTTCATGTGTCCAAAATATGGAGCTTTAAACCAGTATAACTCTCCTGTGGCCCGGGCGCTAGTTTTGGAGGTTATGTTTATGTGTCAGCTGTCGCCCAGGGCTGCAGTGCGACTATTTTAATTTAATCGGTTTATAGATTTGCAGAATAACTATACCGTTGAAACTAATATATATGAATATATATATATCAAAAATAACCGTTCAACTATCTCTACATTATCTGGACCGGAAGAATCGTTATTTATCGTTGGAGCCAAAAACGTCCCATATGATTGTTTCGCCAGCCCTGTTGGCGCCACATTTGAATAATGCGTTACAGATAATAACCAATAAAGATTTACGAAACTATTTATTACACGCTTTTTATTTATTGTGTTACATTAACGTTATTTCATGTGTGGGCTGTCCTGGGGATAGGTTTTTCGTAAAACTAGTTTTAATTAGGCTACATATACGTACAAAAATCGGACTCGCGAGTATATTTTCCAAATATACACCTCCCCGATCAGCATGCGGTGTATATATCCCGGTATATAAGTATACATTGTATATACATTACATTAATATAGGTAATACAGGATGTTTGGGTGCGGTTATTGCTGATATATGTATGGCTGCCGAGTGAGTTTAGGAGAGTACGAATAATATTGTTCATCGAGTGAGGCTAATACAGAGGGTTACAGCTTAAGTTTAAGGTGTGTGTTAGGTGTATTACATATTACATTTATTCATTATTTGTTATTAGTTTTTGTGTTCTGCAACAATTTTATTGGATTACACTTTGTGTGCCGTGTGTGTGTATGTTCGTCTTAAATGCAGAGGCGCCAAATCATCGAGTTTGATTTCGGGTTTCGGTTTTTGGTTCACTTATTATCTCAGTATCACATGCGTCCCCTCCGAATGCGGACAGGAAACACCGGAAACATATCCATTTAGCAACAATTTACACGCTTTCTTTGTTAAGAATGCGCAGCTTTTGAACTCTTTCTCTACGCGAACAAGGAACACATTAAAAGCAGCCAAAACATTGGATTAAAAATAAAACATAGGTAGTAGTTTGCTCTGAGCTGTGTTTGGGTGCGGTGTGTGCGTGGAAGGCGTTAAAAGCAGTACATTTCCATTTGGTGTGATATGGTTTTAAAAACACTAAGCATTACATTTTTCTTATATAAATAAATATTTAAATTAACATAGATATTGACAGAGGTGGCTGCAATGGTTGTGAAACCCACTGAACTCTTATTAATGGTATACACGACTTACTAAAATATACAATTTTAAAACAAAACTCGATCAAGGTAAAACTGGGTATTGGAACTCAAAAAAATCACCGCTGGATTAGCTTCAGAACATCCCTACATGTAATACAAAACATACATATCAAATACCTATGTAAAGTATATATGATTTGGGGTTTCCGGTAGTTTTAGTTTTTTTGGGTAACTTTTTTTGGTTTTTTCCCTTTTTTTGCGCTAAAGAAATGCACTCGATTATTGCTTGCCACAGCCACGCCCACAGCTCTGCGTTGCGCCCCGGGCGATCTATCTAGGTTGAAGTAGATGCTGGTCTCTAGATATCATCGATGAGACGACCCTCGATGACTGAAGAGTGGTGGTAATTGGGCCTTGGCCGGAAGTCTTCGTTCTGTTCGTTCAGTTGCGTGGGCGAGAGATCCACCCCGGGACATGATGGCGTCACTACGATCTGTTCGTACTCGTGGATACGCTTACTGCACACGAGACGAAAAGAGACAAAAGTTACAAGAAAGTTCTCAAGGAATCTTAGAAACAAACTTACCCAAAGCACCGGAATATTATGCTCTTAAGCCAGGAAAAGAAGTTGAACTCGGCCGTCAGACCAGGCTTCACCGCCGGATTGGCCGTGCCCACATAGAACCACACGATGAACACCACCAGAAAGCAGGTGAGCGCATAGTACCAGTTGACCAGCAGCATGACCAACAGCTTTGTAAACGCCTACAGACAAAGGGACAATAAAAAACCACACACAGTTTCTCAAAATTAAGTGAACTCACTCCAAGAAGCGAAGCCCAGCGGTTGCAGTAGCCGGAGTACCAGTTTTTCGTCTTGGAGTGGATGGGTGGTCGGATGGGAGCGATGGGCTCGGCCTCGTCTTGATTCTGCTCCTGATCTGGCGCTGCATCCTGCTCGACGGCTAGAGTCGTGGCGTCTTCGGTGGCCGTTGAATTCGCAGGTTGGGTCGTTCGGCTCGAGGTGCTTGGCCCCTCCCCGCTGAACTCCGCCTGGTGAGGTGCCGTCTGGTGGAGTGGCGAGTTCTGGGGACTCTGCAGGTTCTTGTGGCGGACCCGATCGGGGAAGAGCAGGTCGAGGTCATTTCCCGTGTCCGAGACACTTCCATAACGACGAGTCTCGTAGCTGGGGCTAGAGGCCTGGATGCGGAACCGCTCCTCCCGCTGTTCCTGGATGTCGAAGGTCTGCGCCAGAGCAAAGTAGGCATAGTCGATGCAGGCGTATGTCAGCAGGAAGGGCATCGTTACGATTGGAGCCAGGAAATTGATGTCACCGACAATAATAAAGGTTACAGTGACGATAGCTACAATTGCCATAGCATACAAAGGCACTTTGTTGGGACCACGCTGAAGGAAAGACGTTAAAGATCAGTAAGAAACTACTACTAAGACTTAATCTAAAGCTGGAAGAGAATACTTACTCCCTTGCCCAGTACATCAATTCCTGGAATAACACTCTCTTTGGCAATGCTCTGAAGGACACGAGGTGTGCCGTACATTGCGCCCAAGCAGGAGGACATACTGGACACATAGATTCCAGCTAAAAGTAGGCATTGAGTGGCCGACACGGAGACGGCGATCATAAAGTTGGTACGCAGTGCGTCTCGCTGACAGGTTGCACCCAGGAACAGCACAAATACTAAGTACAGAAATGTGCTAAAAAGATGGGTTGTTGAATAATGATTGCTCGGGTAGATATTGCCACTTACGATGTTCCAAACGCAGCAAGGGTGCCGTTGGGAATGTCCGTGGAAGGAGCCCGCAGATCGCCGCTCATGTTGATGCCAGAAAGAACACCCGTGACGGTGGGGAAAAAGACTCCAAACACACGAAACCAGGAGTACCCGTTTTCGTACATCGGCCACAGGTTGGCGACAAAATTTCCGCTTACCCAGCCGTCAAATCCTTCCTCTGCAAATTCACGCCGTTTCAAGCAAATACGTTTTTGGCAATTGTTTCCAACTTACTTTCTTTCTGTCCAACAAAGCTGCCCACCATAAAGTCCAACGCGGATATAAGCAGGATCATAAGCAGAATGAACTGCAGCTTGATGACCCACTTTACGCCGGCCACATTGATGCAGCCAAGGAGAAGGACAGCAGCGGTTGCAAATCCCCTGATGGCCCATTTGCTGTCTCCGAGATGCACAAGACCGGCCATCGACTCGCCAAATCCCATCACATTGAGAGCACATCCCACCGCCTGACCGAAGCAGTAGAGCAGTCCAAGGGCGCCGCCAAAGCGGGAACCTAACGTATGTGCTATGAGGAAATACACACCGCCACTCTCAACGCGACACCGTTCACAGATGCCAATCGCTGACAGCACGCTAACCAGGGCTATGACCACTGTGCAGAAGATGATTAGCACCGCGTTGAGAATACCAGCCTGGGCTACAATCCACCCGGAGCGCAAAAATACGATTACACCGAACACGTTGATCAAGCAGGAAGTAAATACACCATCCCAGGTGCCAAAAAGTACCGGCTGCGAAATAAAAAAGTTGGATCGCCACCTGTTGAGGATGAAGAAGGGGTGGTTAGTGCATCCTAGATAGAAAGGATCTCTGTTCTTACTTACCAGGGCTTGTCGCCCTGCTCGCCGGCAAAGATTTCGTTGGCACCGGATGCATGGTGGCCTCCTGCCGCATAGGTGTACTCGTTCCCGAGATCTACGAAGCCGCCGGTGTTGTTGTTGGTCCTTTGACGAAATGTGGCCACCGCCACCTCGCCATCATCCTCGTTGCCTAGACCGAATCTCTGCCAGTCGACGGTGCGTCGGCCTCCAGTTCCGTTACCGCTACCGTTACCTTCCGAGGTATTAGTCATCTTGGTTCCGCTTTCCCTGCTGATACTCCCGCGCTTCTACAGTTTCACCGTGTTCTTGTTGTTGTTTTTGGTGTTGATTGTTTTTGTTTGTGTTGAACGAGTCGAGTTGGCCTGCTGCGCCTTTGGGTTATCTCTGTATCGACGAATCGAGCGTAATCGCGGCAATTAACTGATTGAAATTGGCTCGATACCCGTGGTTCTATTTATGGCTAATTTGGAGTGAATCCACGCAGGCAGGCGGCTATGATGATGGAATGAGTAGATGCCCCTCCACTCTTAGTGGACAGGTGCCACTGGTGTCGGCTCTGGCTTACTAGCAGCTGGCTGTGGGCCGCATCGTTCGTTTCTGGCTTACGGAGGGTATCTCTGGGTATAAATGCGCAGAAAGTTAAATAAAAACACTCTCTCATATGTAAACTATATCGTCATATATACAATAGAGGTGGTTCTTAAGCGATAACATCGAGGGCGATTAATAACCGAATAATCGATGGTCCCTTCGGACCATGTGGCATCACTTGCCTTCACGTGTTGATTTAACAATAATTTTGGCTCCCATTTACTGACTGTAACATGGGCAAAATGGGCAAGAAGAAGGAAAAGCCGGGGAAGATGACCAAGGCGGAACCAGCCTCCTCAACGAAAAATGCTAAGGCAACTGCGCCGGCAGCCGTCGACCCAGAGAGCGGCATTTGGAAGGATGAACGTTTTCATCACCTTTTGACGGATCCTAGATTCCGGGGAGTACCCAAGGTGCAGCGAAAGGTGAAGATCGACCAGCGCTTCCAAGGCATGTTCACGGATGAGAAATTCAAAGTCAAGTATACCGTGGACAAGTACGGCCGGCCAGTAAACAAGAGCAACGCGGAGGATCTTAAAAAGTTCTACGAGTTGGATGAAGACAGCGATAAAGAGCAAGAGGATGGGGAACAGAAGCCGGAGAAGGAAGTGAAGAAGAAGGAGAAGACCAAGGCTGAGACTGACTCTGAGGAGGAGCAGGAGGAACGCCGTGCCGAGGAACGTGCCATAGCCGATCTTGAGGATCAAAACGAACTGGGCAACGATGCCTTAGATAGCGAAGATTCTGATGTTCCCGAAGATCTCCGCAAACGTTTGACCAATCCGGACGTCGATTACGCCCGCGGCGAGGGCGGCATCACGGACTCCTCTTCTGACGATGACAGTGAAGATGAGGATGACGAGGGGCCTGAACTCCAAATCGACCATGTGTGGGGGGAACTCGACAACGACGCTGAAAGCACCGAGGAAAGCACCCGTCGCCTGGCCGTCTGCAACATGGACTGGGACCGCATTCGGGCGAAAGACTTGATGGTCATGCTGAGCTCCTTTTTGCCGCCTGGAGGGACTATTCTCAGTGTCAAGATATACCCCTCACAGTTTGGTAAAGAGCGTATGGCTGAGGAGGAGGTGCACGGGCCCAAGGAGCTTGTGGAGCGCAAGGAGGACGCCTCAGACGAGGAGGAGGAATTGGTGCGGGAGAATGACAGCGATGCAGAGGAGGGTGATGACTACCACATGGAAAAGCTGCGGCAGTACCAGCTGAATCGCCTGCGTTACTACTACGCCGTCGTTGAGTGTGACAGCGTCCCTACTGCTGATAAAATTTACCAGGAGTGTGATGGTATCGAATACGAGAGCTCTGCGACTCGCGTGGACCTTAGATTCATTCCTGATGATACCACCTTCGATGAAGATGTGCCGACCGACGAGTGCCTGGAGCTACCGGACGCCAGCAGCTATAAGCCCCGTCAGTTCACAACGACGGCGCTGCAGCAGGCCAAAGTGGATCTCACCTGGGACGAGACTGCTTTGGACAGACGGGAGCTGGGCGACAAACTGTCTTCGGGACAGGTGGACAAGCTGACGGATAAAGAGCTGAGGAAAATAGTGGCCTACAGCAGTGAGGAGGAAGAATCTGCATCAGAGGAGGAGGAGCCGGAGAAGCCAAAGGAGAAGGAGCCGTCGCAGCAGAAGCCCAAGAAGCTCTCCAAGCAGGAGCGCATTGCCAACTACAAAAACCTTCTTGCTGAAATTATGGAGCAGGAGAAGAAGGAAAAGGAGCAGAAGTATGAAATGGAAATGTCGTGGCACGTAGAGACGCCCAAGGAGAAGGAAGAGGAGGAGCAGCAGCCAAAGTCGGGCCAAGCTCAACTGACTCCCATCGAGAAGATGATTCAAAAGCGCAGCGAAAAGAACAAGTTGCGGAAGGAACAGCGTCGACAGAAGCAAATCGAAGCTCAGGGAGGCGATGCTGGCGACGATAGCGATGCGTCCTCCGTGCCAGATGGCATTGATCTAAACGATGCCTATTTCGCCGAGGAGTTCGCCAATGGTGATTACGCGCCACCAAAAACGAAGGCTTCTAAGGATAAGAAAAAGAACAAGAAGAAGAAACAAAATGGACAGGAGGAGGATAGCGAAGCGCTACAGAAAGAAAGAGAGCTGGAACTCCTGCTGGATGACGGGGACGAGCGTGAAGAGAAGCAGCACTTCAGCCTGGCCAAGATCCTCAAAAAAGAAGAGCAAGAGTCTGGTGGCTCGAAGCGGAAACGTCGTCAGCAGCTGAAGAAATCCAAACAGGCCGGCAAACCAGTCTCCGAGAAGCCTGACGATGATTTCCATATGAATGTGGACGACAACCGCTTTAAGGCGGTTTATAGATCGCACGAGTACAACATCGATCCCACCCACTCCCACTACAAGGCCACCAAGGGCATGCAGCAGATCATCGGGGAGAAGCTGAAGCGTAGGCAGCAGCAGGCGTCAGGAGCCAATGGGGACGCGGATGGGGATGAGGAAGCTACGGGGCCCAAACGTAGCAAACAGCAACTGGAACAGAACGCTTTGGTGAAGAGCCTGAAGCGTAAGCTCCAGCAGCGGGAGCAGCAACCTTAGGACAGTAGCACTACTAATCTTAGTATAGTTACGGCACTTAAAAATAAAAAGATACTGTTATTTCTACATTGAGTGAGTGAGTTATCAAGGAAAGGGGAAGTATCAAGATCCTTAGTCCATAGCATAGTTTATTACTTAAGCCTAAACACTGAATATGTGACAATAATTTCGGGACGATGGATCGCGGATTTTCTAGTATTTGTAATCAAAGTAATGCATATAGAGGGCCGTTGTAATGGCGGCATCCACGTGATACAGGTCCGGCAAACAGATGCGGCGCTCCTGCTCGTATACAATCATCAGTTCGCAGAGGCGAGACCACACTGGATCGTAGAACCGCCGGATGAGCAGGCAATCCAATTTGGGGCTAGACATTGTGTGAATCACGCTCTGAAGCTGCTCCGGCGTGGTTCCCGATCCGTAGATGGCGGTGAAGGGACTGTGCCCAATGCAAAGCTCGTAGACCACCAATCCCAGCGACCAGATATCGGACTTAAAGCCCGCCTTGCCTGTTGGATTCATGGCCTCCGGGGCCATGTACAGGGGCGTGCCCATTACCGTCTGAGATTGGGTGCTCGGCGCATGCACATTGGAGATGCCGAAGTCGGCTATCTTCACGCGATCCTCGGAGTCCAGGAGCATGTTTTCCGGCTTGATGTCGCGATGAATAACGCAGCGGATATGCAGATACTCCAGGCCCAAGACCATGTCACGAAAGAAACGCAATAGTCGGTCCTGGTGGATGCCGCCGGTGCCTGCAGGTAGCTTTTGGATCACATCCCTGAGAGTTCCATTGGGCAGGTATTCCATGACTATGTTAACGGTGCCGGCGTGGGTGAACGAGCGCAGAAACTGGACGATATGTGGATGGCGCAGCTGCGAGATGATGTACACCTCTTCCTTGATGAGTCCCAGCTCAGTCTTGGGGTTGCGAACGATAATCCGCTTGACGCAAACCTGACGACCTGCCTGGTAGCAGAGGAACACCCGGCCGAAGGAGCCCTGTCCCAGGACTCTGACCGCCCGCAGCTTCGAGTCACCCAGATCCATTCAGATATTTTAGACAGACACTTCTGGATGCAAGGGCTTTTAGTTTACAGTTAAACTTTCATGTGAATCGCGCGCCATCGCTCGAAGATTCTCTCAATGGTTCTAAAAAATTTGAAAGGTCACACTCGAACCGCCAAGAATATTTTAATCGATAACATTTATATCGACCTAATTTTGAATTCGGATTTAAATGTTAATCGAGGAAGGGGAAGTACACTTTCTGGCGGGTCTGGCGGGTTTAGAATACTTTAGGTTTGAGTTGAAACTTTCTACAATAAAGCCACTTCTAGTTAAACTTTAAATCGTGGAAAGACAACGCTTCCTGCCGAATTGTCAGTTACATAATATATAAGGCGATTTATCGCCGGACTTATAATTAAAACAGCCAAGACAGGCAAATCTAAGACAAAGCGACATGAGCCGGGGCATGTTCAACATGCAGCGTTACTACCAACTGGCATAACTGTTATGCAAATTTTTACTGCTGCGGCTGGGAAAGCAGTTTACTTTTACTTTTCAAATCGATTATGTGCAACACGGAGAGTGGCATGGAGCGGCGTGTGGCGTGGTGGTGTCTGCCTTTTGTGTGCGCGCCCCCCCCGAAGCACACTAACCCACAAAATCGAATGCAATTGGATCTGGCATTTGAAGCGATTTTCGGCGAGTCGTTCACCTATTACTTAATATGTTTAAATTTGGCTGCAGACTACCGCACTTAAACTTCTGGCGGCTTAGATGGGATCAGAAAGAAACGCCGGTGGGGCAATCACCGCCCCACAGAGTACGCACCTTTCACCTGCCACACGGTGCAACTGAAATGTTGTGAAAAGCCCTTCACTCAATCTTGACGCGAGCCCTCATTTATCATTCGGGAAATTGGCCGCCATGAGGTGCCACAAACTGTCTATAATGTTTCGACAATGGAATGTAATAAGGAAGTTAAATGGGGCCATCGATTTTAATAGGATTTTGATCCATAATAGAGATCCAGGGTTCTTAGCAAGGACCCAGCATAAAAATTCTTTCTATCAGGAGGATTCATTAGCAAAGATGGGGGAGAAGTAACTGGTGTCTCAGACGGGGAAAGAATTAACTCTACAGGAAGGCGGATCCATGCGGGATCGTTTACTAAACAATCCGTCTTCGGCCTGGCCTTCCCCCCATTTGGGTTGCCTAATTGCCTTGCACTTGCAACCAATGTTTTTGAGCGGCAACTGGTTTCGGCCAGGTCTGTTTTGGGTGGTTAACCCGTTGCCGTGTGCTGCCAAGTGGCTGACAACGGGTTTCTCCTGCGCAGGAAACCAGCCAGCATCGTACCGCATCGCAATCCCAAAGGCCACATGCCGTATACGTAATCCGCGCTTTAATTGAACCACTATCGCACGCAGATATTAACGTGTGTTGAATCGAATTTTCCAAACAATTGTGGCAGTGGCCATAAATTACAACAACAGCCTTGCGTTTGCGTTGAAGTTCGTTGCCGTTGCCGTTGTTACTGTTGCTGTTGCTTTTGTTGTTTTCGACAGCGCTCCAGCATCGGATTGGCGTGTTGCTGTTGTTGCGGCATGCAACTCCACACCATCCGTTTTCACTATAAATCGAATCTGGTCTCCAACGCCAGCCACATTCATCCAACCGTCGTCAAGGAAAGCACTCGCGTATCGGTCCTGCTCCTACTCTAATACTGGAATATATAAATACTTTTTTTGTCTGTGAATAATATTGTGTGAAACATCAGATAATATGCTGAAATTCATTGTAAGGAAATATAAATGAATCCGTTTTTTCTCATTAGAAAAAGTAGTAAAAAATATCCAGAAAAAGTGTTTCAAAATATGTTATAGACCGTTAGTTTTTAAAATGTTTTTCAAAAACAATTCATGGAAAATAGTGTAAAAATCTTAAAAGTATTAGATAAACCATAGTTTCAGAGATTTAAAATGTTTTTTGAACCGCTAAATCAAAAAGATAATCCTGAAACGGGAATTTTGTTCGAACACCACATGATTTTAACAAGTTTCTAACTAAGAAAAATGCACAATTTATTGACCATTTCTGAAATATATCATTCTAGCTTCCCTTATTGGCTCTTCTTGCCCTGAGCTCGGCACTGAAGATCCACGACTACCACCAACAGGACCATGAGGAATACGAGCACCATGAACCGGAGCATGAGGAGACGGAACTGCACCACGAAGTGGATCACAAACACGCTACTTCGCACCAGAGTGTCAAGTTCCATCACTACCATGCCGTGCCCGTTTACATCAAAAAGGAGGATCAGCATCTGGTGAAGAAGCCAATCGAGATCGGAGGCAGCAAGCAAAAGCTAAAGATCCTGCATCCAAAGACGGAACACAACCATAACCATGGCCTGGTTTTGGAGAACCACAGCGAGTCGCATCTTCACGAGCATGGCCACTACGAGGAGCCAGTGGAGCACCATCATTCGGAGCACTACGAGCACTATTCCCACCACGAGTAGGGATTCAGATCGAAGTCTGGAATCCTCTTTGCCAAATAAGTTGCGTTTCGTTAGTTTTAAGATTGAATGGTATTCTTGTGTTAATAAAGCATTCTCCTAGAGTAATATTGAAGGTCCGCCTGTTTTAAAAAAAGATTTGAAAAACATTTTCAAAAACCGGTTCAGGTTTCGAAAGTATAACCGTTTCGTTCCGATTGCAAAAATTTCGATAGATTGCACAGTTTAGCAAATATCGATATAAGATTTGCCATCCGCACTTCGAATCTGGCAACACTTTTCTCGTTCTCTCGGCGTTTTCGTTGAGAAAAGTGCACAAAAATCAAAAATTGCTGTTTTCTGCTGCAGTTTGTTCGAGTGATTGCTGAAAAGTGAGTAAGCTGAAGTGGCACATTTGGCAAGTCATCCTAAAATCGAAGCCGGTTGGTTTTATCATTGAAAAAGCGTTTTTTTTTACGTTTTAAATAGTGCTTTTTTGCTCGCACGGTTCCTAAGCCTCACTAACACCCGTTGGTAAGCATGCGAGTGTTGGTGCGAGCTTGCGTATGTGCACCAGGGCTAGCTGTGTGTGAGAGTGCGATTTGCGAGCGTGTGCGTTCGCTTCGTGTTGGTATCGTACTTTTTTCTGGGTGCTTCGTTGGTTTTTGGCGTTTCTACCCTATTTTGGTTATTTGGGCGCCTCTGGGATCAAGATGCGGGGCCCCCAGTGAGCGCGGACGCAGGGGCGAAGATGCCTGGCAGCGTCCTGCGAGCTGCATCCTACGTTCATTGCGGCCCCATACGATGCACTGCTCTCTAGCCCCCTCTCTTTCGCTCTTCGGCTTCCGAAGGCTCCAAAGTTGTGGGGTACACACACATATTTTCGTGGTCCGAGAGTCCGAGCCAAATCGCGCGTCGTTGTGGCGCTCAATCAATCCACATCCTGCGGGAGCAACGGACACGCATAGCGGAAGCAACAGCACTCGCATCCACATCCACATCCAGCAGAGACCACTGTCTAATTCAATTACAGAAGCAGTAGAAACCACTGCAGCACCCACGCCACCTCGACCCAAACATCCCTTTCTTTCTATCTGTTTTGCAGCTTCTGGCGCGAACTGCGACACAAAGACAATCGGAGACGACGCTGGGAGTCAGTGGATAACCAGGACTACAGGAAAGTGAAGAAGTCAAACGGGCAGGAGCAGCTATAAAGGATGTCTCAAGCCGAGAAAATGCATGCCCAGGAGCATGACGAGGACCCGTCCTCGGACCTAGAGGTGCGTATAATCTTATTTCAAAAGTTTTCCACTTCAGCCTTCTTTACTGTTTCTGTTTCCTTTTGTGGTCAGCAGTCGGGCGATGGCGTGGAGGGTCAGAGCGACGAGGACTACAACGAGGATGAATTGCTGTCCGGCCAGGACATGCAGCAGGGCGACCAGGAAGACGACGAAGACGGAGACGGGGACAACCAAGACCAGTCAGCTGACGGCCAGGGCAATGGAAACGGAAATGGCGGGAATAACAGCGGAGCTACTGCCAAACAGCTGCAGCAAGAGCAACAGCAGCAGCTCGACCGCGCCAGCGCCACCAATCTAATCATCAATTATCTACCCCAGGACATGACGGACCGCGAGCTCTACAATCTCTTCAGCGGATGTGGACCTATCAACACCTGTAAGATAATGCGCGACTTCAAGGTGAGCTTAAAAATGGCATTTTGCCAGGTGCGCCAGTGATGCGTGTGTGTGTATATCATAATATGCAGTAGCTGAGCAAATGGGGCAGCTGTGTGGGCAGCTGGGGTCCGGATCCCTGTGTTTCCATGGAGACCAGGGCACCAGGAACCCAGGTGCACTGCACGTCACAGGTGCCGTCCTTTTCTCTCGTCGCACTGCATACATACATGCAAGCTCCCACGCTCCACTGCAGGTCTCGTTCGCTCACTCACTCTTGCTCCTTTATTTGCATCCCGCCCTCTACTCTGGACGCCCACCGCTCAGACCGGATACAGCTTCGGCTACGGGTTCGTGGACTACAAATCAGAGTCGGACTCGGAGGACGCCATCCTAAAGCTCAACGGGTTCTATGTGCGCAACAAGCGTTTAAAGGTGCGTCTGCCTCCCCCCTGAGGGTGTTTTCACCCCTTGCCCCACATTCTCTAATGGAACTCCCAATTTGTAGGTCTCATATGCTCGTCCTGGAGGACAGTCCATCAAGGACACCAACCTGTACGTGATCAACTTGCCGCGCAACATCAACGATGAAATGCTCGACAGGATATTCTCCGCTTTCGGCCAGATCGTCCAGCGCAACATTCTTCGTGACAAACTAACAGGACGTCCCCGTGGAGTGGCCTTTGTTCGGTGAGTCCGGAGGTCAGGCTGACCTACTCAGCAGTGACCCCATTTCACAAACGCCAAAGGAGTTCAAAAAGTGACTAGAAGAGTGGTGCTGTGTAGTGTTCAGTGTTCAAGCCAATCCTAGAACTGTCTTAGCTCATTTGTGTAAAAGAATTCGTGCTTTTTTTTTACCTAAATCCGATTTATTTTTATTCCATATCTTAACCCTGTGATGTCGCATTCGGTTTATGTTGGAGATGAAGTCCAATCCGATTCCAATTCGTCTGCTAATATCGTCTTTTTTGTTATACAGCTACAACAAACGCGAGGAGGCCCAGGAGGCGATCAAAACACTGAACAACACTGTGCCGGAGGGCGGATCGCAGCCGATCTGGGTGCGACTGGCCGAGGAGCACGGGAAGGCCAAGGCGGCGCAGTTTATGGCGCAGATCGGAGGAGGTGGTGGACCGGGAAGCGGTCCTGGTGGTCCTGGAGGACCCGGCCCGCATATGGGCGGTGGGCCGATGCAGATGCCACATCATCATAACAACCACCACAATAACCATCACCACAACAACCACCACAACGGGCCACCGCATATGCAGCATCTCCAGCAGCAGAACCACCCGCATCCGCACCACCACCCGATGCACCACCAACAGCACCACAATAATCACCATAATAACCACCATAATAATCACCACAACAACAATCACCACAACATGGGCCCCCACCCGATGCAGATGCACCCCATGGGTATGGGTATGGGCATGGGTATGGGGATGGGAATGGGCATGGGAATGCCCATCCATGGTGGTGGCGGTGGCGGAGGCGGCGGTGGCGGAGGAGGAGCCGGTGGCAACTTCCACCACATGGCGCACAGAGGTAGATCAAACAGAAACACACGATCTCAAAAACCGCATCCCTATAACCATGCACAGAAATTTATTTAAACGCAATTAATCTCTTTACACGATATTAGCTGCATCTCACAGGTGAAGTGTTCATGCTGCCATTGCCGATTTGCAGCCGATTCCGAATCTGATTCCCAGCCAGCCAGCCGCAAGCGAGCAATGGCAACTGCCAGAGCCACAGTCACATCATAATCCAGTGCAACTGCAACAGGCACAGATTCAGCTGCAGATGCTGAACCAACCACCGCCCATTAGCCACAACCACAACCAGCAGATCTCGATCTCCTCGAGCCACGGCAACCTGTACAGATCCGAATGCAGCTACATTGCGCCGGCCTACTTTCCGGTTCTAACCACCTACCCCACTGCATCCGTATCCTCTGCCGCTCTCGCCGCTCCGGCAACCATTGTCTCGTCCGAAGCAACAGCCGCAGCAGCATTACTTGTTGCTTCTTCCACTTACACACCCCCCACCAGACCTAATCCGGCAGCCACCTGTACCATCACCAGCCCAAGCCAGGCTCTCCCGTTGGACTGGCATCAAGCATCTGGGATTCCGTCGATAGCTGCGCCCCTCATGTACACATCGCCTGTACCCCTAGCCTATCAGGCAGTAACATCCACACTGGTACATCCTCCGGAGATAACCTCGACCGTGGCGGCAATTCAGTATCCTGCGATGGCAACTGTCGCCACTCCATACGAAGCTATTCCCATTGCTGTAGAGACGGGAGCCACCCAGAATCCCAGCACTTGCGTCTTCTATCAGTACGCCAATGACAACTATGTGAACACGGTGAACTACTACGACGCGGAGAATGGTGAAATGTGTGCCATGGGTCTCGTTTACGTGACCTATAGAGAGGATGAGGAGGAGGCACCAGCCGAGGAGACGTCTGAGCAGTCTGATACGTTGGACATGACCCTGGTACCCCAGATGAGCAGCATTAGCTTTGGTGGCGGCGCTGGAGCTGACGAAGAGATGGTGGAGACCGACGGTGATGGCGGCGGCGGCACTGCTGGCAGCAGACAAGGTGAAGAACCGGAGAGTATGGGAGGAAGCTGGCACACAGGCGGTGGCAGCTACAACTAATTAATGCAATTTTTAGACTAGCAATTCAGCAAGGTCACTAAAATCGAAAATACGCAAAAAAAAAGTCGAAGAAAACCCAAGCGAGTTATCCTCACCGTATGAACCTTTATTTCTCTCTCTCTCTCTGTGCCTCTCTAAGTGCATGTATGTATGTGTTGTATTATCCGTATATATGTATATCCATGTTAGAGAGCCAGGACGGGTTGAGATTGCCCAAGAACTGGCCTAGGAATAGCAAATCAAGCATTGGCAGCAGGCGGCGAATACAAAAGATGCAAATCGAAAGTGAAAAAGAAGCTTAAGTATCAGCCAAGAGCAGAAAGAACACGACACGAACACTCACAGATTAGGAGACCATAAGTTGATGATGCCTAGCGTGTAATAAGATCTATGAAACGATGTTCCAAAGTACACAAACACACCCCATAACACACCCCTATCCCCCTAAAGCCCCAAACAAACACACACACAGAGCTCCGTCGGTGGAGCCTGATCCTCTATTGTAGACGGTTGCGCATATTGATGAAACACTTGAGTGTGGATTTTTGCAGATCAAGAAAAAGAAACAATTCCAATTAATTTTGTATAAGAGATGCATACAAAACAGAAAACAAGAAATTATGAATTTTTAAAGAAGGAGACTTGAGCCGACAGACGGACAACGGCCCCGCGGACAGAGACTGGGTGTAGCGGACCGGCAACCTCTGATGATGATGATGATGATGATAGTTGATACATTAATAAAACTCTATAAGGAATCTGCGTGGAAGTTCGTGGCACATGCTTTTTAACTACCATACCATAATAAATAAATTATTGATGTATAACTAAACACTAAACACAAGCCCCCTATATATATAGATAATTATATATGAATGTAAAAACACCAGATTCTATGCAAAAACCTTCAAACAAACTCGACAAGAAAACTGCTGAATATAAATAAATTTGCTATTTTCCACCAGCAACCAACCGCGGGACGTTCAAGTCCCATATTTTTTTTGTTTTTTTTTTGTTTTTGTTTGTTGAGCCTCGATATCTTGAAAGGTAAAGCCTAGTCCCTAGCATTATACTAGTTAAGGTTTGCAATTTTTTTTCAGACTAATCATAGAGTAAACCGAAATACATGTATTTAAAGTTAATAATTGTAGAAAACGAAATCAAATTTTTCGACTCGAGTCGGCGCGAATATCCGAGATATAGGATTCGAGGAGCTGCGAACGATTCGAAAGTGAAAGAGAGCGAGAGAGAAGATACAGGCGGTACAGTCACGCTGTGAGATGGAGCTTACGATTACGAGTAATTAATATATGTGGAGATTGGGATGCTCCTATGAATATCCCCAGCCGACTTTTGGCATAGTTGAATTGTAGTCTACTATACTATACATACAATATATACATAAATATAAAACTAGTCCTTAAGAATTCCGGAGATGACAACCGGTGATGAACAAAAGAAGCTGTGGCACCTTTACTTTTACGGATGACTTGAAATACAAATTACATTTGTAAATCATTCAGATACGTCTGAAAATTGAGATAAGGGATTTAAAGATTGTTTTATGTGCAACAACTCTATACAAAAAATTGTGTAATAAATGTGTTTCAATCACAATACGAAACTGTTTTCAATTGGCTTCTTCCCTAAGTATTCCAATGATCACATCCCAAAGATCGGAAACTAAATGACTTGAATTTTTTAGATTTTAAAATTCCATACTTATAATTGCTATTAATATTTTGTTTTTCTATATTTTCATTACGCCCACAACCCAGGATTACAATTTCTAATTTTGGTATGGTCTTCAACATTATTTTAAAACTAATACGCTTTACCTTATGGCAAAAGTTTTTGAACCACCACTTCAAATGTCCCGCGTAATTAAGCACCCTGTGCCAGCTGCGCCGATAACTTTTATATTCGATAGACCGCGCTTCCAGGCCAGAGCGAGAGGGACCAATTGACAATCAGCTGCGTTGTTCTTGTTGGAAGAAGTGTTGCCAGAATTAAATGGGCTGGAATAGATTAATTGGCAAAAATAAATATATATAATTGCTTAAATAAAATTAGTTTCACGCTAAAATCATTAAAAGAAACAGAAGTAAAATGAAATATAACGGTTACCAACTTTCTTCAGCGAAATAAGCTAAATTTGACGGGAAAATGGCCAAAGTGGCAACACTGAGCATTCCAATGTCAATTAAATAAGCAAAAAACGCGAAGAAAAGCGCAGAGGAAAACCAGGAAATCGAACAGATAAATTGCAGCTAGGCTGAGCTTAACTTCACATTCTGCTAAGCGATAGCCCAGAGTCCGGATCACGGATTGCTTAGAGGTGAGTGCTGGCTGCCAAACGGAGCAAGTGAATCGACACGAAGGCTCTACCAAAAGCGGAGCGGACTACGCAATAAACGATAACGACCTTCCCTCCTCCTATCCCTCGGCTGACCTCTCTGCAGTAGCGAACGCTAGGAACTGAAGCTGCAGCTAGAACTGGAGCACCTTTGCATCCACCACCCGCTGGATCAGTAATCCAGGACAATGCCCCAGACGAGGGCTGCGGCCGCGGAGGCGGCGGCCGCCGGTACCGCCAACGGTCAACCGCTAGTGAAGATTGGGCACTACCTGCTGGGTGCCACCCTGGGCACCGGGACCTTCGGCAAGGTGAAGATCGGCGAGCACCAGATCACCCGCGTCAAGGTGGCCGTGAAGATCCTTAACCGTCAGAAGATCAAGAGCCTGGATGTGGTGGGCAAGATCCGGCGTGAGATCCAGAACCTTAAGCTCTTCCGACATCCTCACATCATCAAACTCTACCAGGTGAGAAAAAAATCCGAGCCTAGAATGCTGACTGCAATACCATCACCCAATGTTGACTTGCCACACATTCAATGGGCTCGTGTTCGGTATTCGGCGCGTGGGCAAGAGGATCGGTTTCGCCTGCCCAAGACACAGCTGGGGGATACAATGTCCGTGAATGGTACAGAATGGTATACAGCCACCGAGGAATTTGAAGAACCCTTTTCCCATTAGCCCGAAATCGATGTGCAACCCAAAACCAATTCACATGGCGGGTGGATAAACATTCCGATAAAAGACTACAGTCTGTAGTAAACAATGGGGGAGAATCAGGGTGCTAGGGCAGTGGGTTTGTGTTGTCTGGGGTCTGGGGACTGGGGTCTGGGGTTTCACTGGGCTTTGTTTCCAAACATTACTTGGACGGCTGTCAGGAAATCCGATCCAATAATTCCCATGTTAGTTTATTCAATGAAGTGGGTAAGCAAGAAATACCGAAGCCAGATGCCAGATGCGTTTCAATAGAATCATTTTTTTAGAATCCACATACAGTTTGGCGTTTAATACTTTTGCGAATTCTAATAAACACTTGTTTTAGGTAATTTCCACGCCATCGGACATTTTCATGATCATGGAGTACGTGAGCGGCGGGGAGCTGTTCGACTACATTGTGAAGCATGGAAAGTTGCACGAGCACCAGGCCCGTCGTTTCTTCCAGCAAATCATCTCCGGTGTGGACTACTGCCACCGGCACATGATCGTCCACCGAGATCTGAAGCCGGAAAACCTGCTGCTCGACCACAACATGCACGTGAAGATCGCTGACTTTGGACTCTCGAACATGATGCTCGACGGTGAGTTCCTGCGCACATCCTGCGGCTCGCCGAACTATGCCGCTCCGGAGGTTATTTCCGGCAAGCTGTATGCCGGCCCCGAGGTGGACATTTGGTCATGCGGCGTCATCCTTTACGCCCTTCTCTGCGGCACGCTGCCCTTTGACGACGAGCACGTGCCCACTCTGTTCCGCAAGATCAAGTCGGGCATCTTTCCGATTCCCGAGTACCTGAACAAGCAGGTGGTTAACCTGGTGTGCCAGATGCTGCAGGTGGATCCGCTGAAGCGGGCCAATATCGAGGAGATCAAGAAGCACGAGTGGTTCCAAAAGGATCTGCCCGCCTACCTCTTCCCATCTTCCATCGAGCAGGACTCGAACGTAATTGACACCTATGCGGTGGCCGAGGTCTGCACCAAGTTCGGGGTCAAGGAGTCGGAGGTGCACAACTCCCTGCTCAGCGGGGATCCGCACGATCAGCTGGCCATTGCCTACCATCTGATCATCGACAACAAGCGCTTCGCTGACGACGCCGCCAACCAGATAAACGAAATCAACAATTTCTTTGTGGCTGGATCACCGCCGCCGCCTCCGCCACCGCCTGTGCCCCAGTCTGGGCTGGGGGATCAGGCACCGCTGGCCACGGTCACTGTCGGCGGCGGAACGGCAGCTAGTTCGGGCACAGCCACTCCAGTGCCGCCGGCCTCTGCCTCCTCCACGCCAAGCAGCACAATCAGACCACATCCCGAGCGAATTGCTCCAATGCGCGACCGCCAGCTGGCCATGTCGGTTCAAACGTCGGGCGGTGGGGCGTTTCCGGAGAAGACGGCTCGCGGCGGCACGCCAATCAAGCGTGCCAAGTGGCACCTGGGCATCCGTTCGCAGAGCAAGCCGAACGACATCATGCTGGAGGTGTATCGCGCCATGAAGGCCCTCAACTACGAGTGGAAGATCATCAATCCGTACCATGTCCGAGTGCGCCGCCAGAACGTCAAGACAGGAAAGTTCTCGAAGATGTCGCTGCAGCTGTACCAGGTCGATGCCAAGAGCTATCTGCTGGACTTCAAGTCGCTAACCAACGACGAGGTGGAGCAGGGCGACGACGTCATCATGGAGAGCCTCACGCCACCGCCCCTGAGTGTGTCCGGTGTGATGCCGCTGCAGCCGACCGGCCACCACACCATGGAGTTCTTCGAGATGTGCGCCGCCCTCATTATTCAGCTGGCGCGCTGAGCCCTGGCTCCCCCAAATCCGAAGAATACCAGGAGTGGGTGACAGCCGTCGTCCGCAGCTCAGGACGGATGGATAGATGGATGAGTATGAAATGAGGATGAGGATAAAGGTTATGGAATCTTCTCGGTTGGTGGCCTGCCTTTTGAATGGCAGACCGCCCTAAGGATTGACCATAACTGGGATGACATAGCCGTACGAAGGAGGTGTTGCTCGGGTGGTCAGAGTTCCCAAACCTAAAGATCCCCCACTTGACTTGGCTTCTTCTAACTCCCCCCCCTTCACACTATCTGTACTTGTTCCTCCTACCTAAAAAATGACCGCATTTTCTGCAGGTGGAAACTATAATAGGTTTAGCTTGCCCTATGGAATAGTTTATTCTATCCAATTCTGTTCTTGAATTCCGCATAGAAACCCAAAGATTTAAGACCCGTTGCTGAATGCTTCCTGGACGAACTCCGACCCCTCGGCCTCCTTTGTGCGGCTGTGTAATCTAAGAAACACACAAAAAAAAAAACTAAAATTTGGAAAAAAGATAAACAGTTTTCGAAAGCCCGTCAGCCGTCGCTGCTATTCGCTTCGCCGCATCCGATACCGAAACCGCTACCGTTTCGGGTTAGTCTTAAGTTTTTTATTAACCGTATTCGCGCCCGAACGACCGACGGGCTTCGAACTTGTTTCTGTTCTGTTTATATATATATATACATGTTGAGTTATTATTTTTTTACCCAAACCTAAACACAAACGCAAACCGTACGTGTACGTCTATATTTGTATTATGCCTAACGAATTGAGTACCGGATCGTTATCCTGGAGGATGTTGTTAGATCACTATTGTAATTAGCTTGGGGCAAGAGCGAGTTTTATGTATGTACTATATTGAATAATGTCATGTCAGAATAAAGCGAACGCTAATTGTTCATAAATAATTCGTGATTCATTCATTTGCCTCTTAAAGTAAACATTTGGAAGTGCTTTCAAATAGCCGTAATTAATATTAGTTTATTGCAATTAAGGTATTTTGCACGTTCAGCATCAATTGTTGTGATTCCTGCCTCGGGATAGGGCTATCGCAGTTACAGTCTCCAGTTTCGTGTATAAAATCGCAACCTCCTTCGCCTATTCGCCTGTATTCCTGGTTCCCTATTAGCTACTCCTACTGCTTCTGCTGCTGCTTTCGCTTCAGTTTGTCGATCAGCGTCTCAATGCTGTTCGCATCCACCAGCCCGATGAACTTGTCGACGACCACACCGTTCCTGAAGGCCAGCACCGCGGGCACAGCCTTCACCTCGAAGGTCTCGACAAGATCCAGGTTCGTCTCCACATCAATAACCGCCAAATCGATCTCGCTGGAGTTCTCCAGCAGCTCGAGCATCTTGGGCGTTAGGATCTTGCAGGGGTCGCACCACTCGGCGTGGAAGTTCACTATAACTGGGTTGTCACTATTGATCACCTGGAAATAGTTAGTTAGAACGTGTAGTAACTGAGATAAGATAGTCCGAGGCTGTCAAAGAGCCCAACCTTATGCAATGTTGATACACGGAATGCCCGACTATTGATTGGTTTCAAAGGGATTAGATTAATAGGTCAGATTCAGGGGTTTCTTCATCGAGTATCTCGACTTCTGTAGAAGACAAAGTCCAAACAGAACAATTACAAATCTTCCCGCCTTCTGCAAACACTCATAGTTTTATCTCGTCACCTTTTAATAACCCTGCAATGCGAGTAACGTCATAGTTAATCGCTTCGCCGTGGTCCCCGTCCGGCTGGAAGGGGTTCAAACCGGAATATAATGTTTTGGGGCTCATTTGCATGCACGAGCCAATCGCCAGCAACGCAAACACAAAACGAAACATCGCTCACCACGACCCACACATATGCAAGGCAGCGGGTCCACGGTCAAAAGTGCGTCATGGGGTGGTGTGGGATGTATCTATCGACCTCCTCCTTCCCCCGGCGAAACTTGCTCACGTACGCCAACTATGCAGTCGGATTCCTATGCCATTTCCGTATATCTAGCCATTGCATAATCCTCCCGGAGGGCTAGCAGACTCACCTTCTGATCAAACTCGTAGTGATCCTTGATGACCAGCTTCTTGAGGAGGGCCTGCGACTGGGTGAGGTACTTCTGCGTGGCCTTGGCTGCTTGGGGAGCTATTCTCTGACAGCTGCTTTGCGCGCTGGAGGAGCCGATCCAGCAACAGGCCGCCAGACGTGGTGCGATTCCCTCGGCGGCGATCTTCAGCATTTTCTGGTCGGCGATTCGGGAACAGAGTACTGGACTAAATGGACGGGAATTTGCGCGTTGTGTGGGCAGCGATTAGATTGCGGGGTGATGTGTTTAACCAGTTTCGTATTTCCGTGTATGCGTAATGTTTGTTTATAAACTGCAGAGCTGCCAGTGTGACCAGGTGTCCACTGTGAGTATGCTATCGATCAATATTATGGGAAACTATGCACTGCTCAAAAAATTGATATAAAAGATTATCTTAAGAAATGGATAATTAAGATACTTCCCTTGTAGATAAAGTTAATTCCTCACACAAATCTTCTAAAGATAAAAAAGGATAGAACTAGAAAATGTAATACGAAAATGTAATCTACTTTATACCTTATCTTTTAAACCTACCTACCGATACCTATTCTTTTAAAATCTGTTTTCTTTTAATTTTCATTAAAAGTTGTGGGTCGATAACCCCATTTCGATAAAATCGATAGAAAAACAAACATTTTACAACACTGGGGCGGGAGGTTGCGCGCGTTCGCTCCCCCTTCTTGCGGCATTCGTGTTTTGGATTTGGCTTTGGCGTTTTGTGTGCCATTGTTCTTGTTGATGTTTTTGTTTTTTATAGCCGCGTAGCCGTGTTGCCGCCAGAAGCGTTCGCGACTGTTGTTATTTGTGTCGCTGCAGCCGCATTTTAGGTTGTTATTTTTTGTTTTTCCAACTGCGGCTGCGTATTTTTTGTGTCCTTTTTGTTTGGTTTTCGTTTCGTGACCGCCGCGGACTCCTGCCGCAGGACCTCAACTCCCACTCGCCCAGCCACCCGTGAACAGCAGCTCGAAAGTCGAGCTCAGAGAGTGTCCTTTTTGGAGCATATGCCTGAGTGTTATTGGTGTGTGAGGACGACTTGCGAAAGGACTCAAATAAGGAGGAACGTAACAGGAAGCAGAACTATCATTAAAGTAAGTTGTACAGTCGCATTTCCAAGTCGGGGAGTTGCAAAACGGCAGGATATCTGCCAGAGGATTCCAATTGGATTCGTAAGCTGCGTATATGCGTGTGTGTGTGAGTGTGTGAGTGTGCGAGTCCTGATTTTCCACCCCGAGAACGCGCTTGGAAATCCAAAACGCGGTTTAGATTTTTTCTCCTGCTCTCAGCCACCCTCCGCCGCCCTGGGCAACATCTTGAAACGTGTTTCAGGACTCCTGGGTGGCACAGCTGTTTGTCCTTATTCCTCGCCCGAGAGCCCATCCCCCTCCTTTGCCTAATTTCTTTCTTTAATTTTTTTTTTTCTTTGAGAAGGATTTATGACATCAACACACACACAAACACACACACACACACAGAGGCTCTGAGTCACGCACAAAGCTTCGTCCTTAAAGCTCTCTTAGCCAGGACCTCTCGCTCTGGCGCTTGATTCGTGCTTACAAGAAGCCGAGGCCGAGGCCGAGGCCGAACCCAAAGTTTGAAATTCCTCAGCCGAAGCTTGAAGCCACGCTGTTGCTTGTTTTGGTTCCAATACCCTTGCAGGGTCTCTCAACCCGAGTCCTGTTTGTGGAAGGATAACTATAATTTTGTGATCAGTGTGTCTCAGGATCCATATGGAGATGTATCTTGAAGATATTTTAACAACTGTATCTAACTCTTTGAGGGTAGATTCGAGAGGAACTCCCTCGGATAGTGTTTAAGCCCTAGTCAGAGCCTCGAAACTAGTTAGAGCTTATTGGAAGCGTATCTCAGCTTCGGCTTTCGTTTTGTTGTCCTAGACTTTGTCCAAATTAATGCTTATCGATTGGCAGCCATTTCTAGGACTAATAGTCCTTATTGGCTTTCCGCTTCGGAATCAGGGCACTGGAGTCAACGTGTATATATACTAGAATCGATGGAATAACCAACAGAAGCTCCCAGTTTTTTGGATCGATTTCGAAAAGATTCCAAAACCCAAAGAGAACAAAACTCAAAAATTGAAAAACAAATATTGATAAAAGCCAAAAAAAAAATGGAGAGGCCGAAAGTTTACGATGCTTTTGGCCTAAAAATACCCCACCGTCCATCCCATTGCCACATCCATCCCATCGGAGCCTCGGCTGCTTGAAAGTTCCAAACTGAACTCCACAGAAGATCGCCTTGGCACCTCTCGAAATAGGCTGTGTGTGTGTGCTGGCTGGCTGGCTGTGTTTTTGTATATAACTAGAAGAACTTCCCTTGAAAACGGTGGACGGAGATGGGGATGGGGATTTCCGTGTCTAATTTTGGGCCCGTCTTGAGCAGGTTCTTTGCCGAGTTTGTACCCCCGGCTCCTGCTCTATTTCAGCCCCACACCGAGCACTCGAAGCAGCTCTTGTAGCTCTCGTCTATTTCTGATCCGGCTATAAATAGTATGGACCCGGACCCGGGCCCGTTCCCCTTCCCCTTCCCTTTTTCAGCACCCCGTAGCCGACTTCGGCTTAGTTCGGCTCGGGGATGTGGTAGCGGGAATCGGGTATCGGGGATCGGGAGCCGGGGATCGAGTCGAATGCCCTGGCGAAGGTGGAAAGCGAAGTTCAACCACCTTTAAATAGATTATACAAACAGCCGGGGAGGGAGGGGCGCGTACAGGAGGGGCTTGAAGGGGAGGGGGCTGAAATCAAGGCGGAAGCCTATATCAAACACAGACACGCTCTCACTCCGAAACTAGATAAAGCAGCACACATACACAGGAACAAATCCGAGGCGGAGAGCGAAAGGCAGCGGCCTGGGGGCAGGGGCAGGGAGCCGCCAGCCATCAGCCCTCTGATCCCGACTCCCTGCCGCCCCCTCCCAACCCATTTGCAGCCCCCGTCCGCCGTCCGGGGCCCGGGGAAAGGGCCAACTGTCGGCGATGCTGCCAAAAATAAATTTGAACTCAAATCTCTGCAGAAAGGCGGGGAAAAGCTGCCAAGAAAAAACCAACGCAGCGAACTCGCCTCCAAAGACCGGCCCGTCTTCCCGCCCCTCTCTCTGGGTCTGGGCCCACATTGGGCATGTGTCTGCCGGCCATTCGATACTCGTATACGTCTGTGTATACAGCCAGTCCAGAACCATCCAGCCCACTTTCCCCCACTTTGCCAAATCCGGCGTACAAGTTCTCTTCACAAGCTGAAAAGTGTATATCTTTTCCTGTATGTATCCGATCCTCAAGCGGAGTACCTCAATCGATTTGTGGATCGATTCTCCATAAATCTGCATCAAAACCTGACATTAAAATTTTTTTTCGATTTTTTTCCAATTTTCCTGATGGACCCCTTGGAAATCCAGGTTTTTCATATAGGCCTCCTTGCGATGTCTATATCTTTGTCAATTCTTATCCAATCCTGGAACGGAATACCTCAATCGATTTGTGGATCGATTCTCCACAAATCTGCATCAAAACCTGGCATTCACATTTTTTTTCGATTTTTTTCCAATTTTCCTGGTGGACCCCTTGGAAATCCAGGTTTTTCATATAGGCCTCCTTGCGATGTCTATATCTTTGTCAATTCTTATCCGATCCTCAAGTGGAGTACCTTAATCGATTTGTGGATCGATTCTTAACAAATCTGCATTAAAACCTGGCATTAACATTTTTTTCGATTTTTTCCAATTTTCCTGATGGACCCCTTGGAAATCCAGGTTTTTCATATAGGCCTCCTTGCGATGTCTATATCTTTGTCAATTCTTATCCGATCCTCAAGCGGAATACCTCAATCGATTTGTGGATCGATTCTCCACGATTCTGCATCAAAACCTGGCATTAAAATTTTTTTTCGATTTTTTTCCAATTTTCCTGATGGACCCCTTGGAAATCCAGGTTTTTCATATAGGCCTCCTTGCGATGTCTATATCTTTGTCAATTCTTATCCGATCCTCAAGCGGAGTACCTCAATCGATTTATGGATCGATTCTCCACGAATCTGCATCAAAACCTGGCATTAAAATTTTTTTTCGATTTTTTTCCAATTTTCCTGATGGACCCCTTGGAAATCCAGGTTTTTCATATAGGGCTCCTTGCGATGTCTATATCTTTGTCAATTCTTATCCGATCCTGGAACGGAATACCTTAATCGATTTGTGGATCGATTCTCCACGATTCTGCATCAAAACCTGGCATTACAATTTTTTTTCGATTTTTTTCCAATTTTCCTGATGGACCCCTTGGAAATCCAGGTTTTTCATATAGGCCTCCTTGCGATGTCTATATCTTTGTCAATTCTTATCCGATCCTCAAGCGGAGTACCTCAATCGATTTATGGATCGATTCTCCACGAATCTGCATCAAAACCTGGCATTAAAATTTTTTTTCGATTTTTTTCCAATTTTCCTGATGGACCCCTTGGAAATCCAGGTTTTTCATATAGGCCTCCTTGCGATGTCTATATCTTTGTCAATTCTTATCCGATCTTTAAACGGAATACCTTAATCGATTTGTGGATCGATTCTCCACAAATCTGCATCAAAAACTGGCATTCAAATTTTTTTTTGATTTTTTTCCAATTTTCCTGATGGAGCCCTTGGACCCCAGGTTTTTCATATAGGCCTCCTTGCGATGTCTATATCTTTGTCAATTCTTATCCAATCCTGGAACGGAATACCTCAATCGATTTGTGGATCGATTCTCCACAAATCTGCATCAAAACCTGGCATTCACATTTTTTTTCGATTTTTTTCCAATTTTCCTGGTGGACCCCTTGGAAATCCAGGTTTTTCATATAGGCCTCCTTGCGATGTCTATATCTTTGTCAATTCTTATCCAATCCTCAAGCGGAATACCTTAATCGATTTGTGGATCGATTCTCCACAAATCTGCATCAAAACCTGGCATTACAATTTTTTTTCGATTTTTTTCCAATTTTCCTGATGGACCCCTTGGAAATCCAGGTTTTTCATATAGGCCTCCTTGCGATGTCTATATCTTTGTCAATTCTTATCCGATCCTCAAGTGGAGTACCTTAATCGATTTGTGGATCGATTCTTAACAAATCTGCATTAAAACCTGGCATTAACATTTTTTTTCGATTTTTTTCCAATTTTCCTGATGGACCCCTTGGAAATCCAGGTTTTTCATATAGGCCTCCTTGCGATGTCTATATCTTTGTCAATTCTTATCCGATCCTCAAGCGGAATACCTTAATCGATTTGTGGATCGATTCTCCACAAATCTGCATCAAAACCTGGCATTAAAATTTTTTTTCGATTTTTTTCCAATTTTCCTGATGGACCCCTTGGAAATCCAGGTTTTTCATATAGGGCTCCTTGCGATGTCTATATCTTTGCCAATTCTTATCCGATCCTGGAACGGAATACCTTAATCGATTTGTGGATCGATTCTTCATAAATCTGCATCAAAACCTGGCATTAAAATTTTTTTTCGATTTTTTTCCAATTTTCCTGATGGACCCCTTGGAAATCCAGGTTTCTCATATAGGGCTCCTTGCGATGTCTATATCTTTGTCAATTCTTATCCGATCCTCAAGCGGAGTACCTCAATCGATTTATGGATCGATTCTCCACGAATCTTCATCAAAACCTGGCATTAAAATTTTTTTCTCGATTTTTTTCCAATTTTCCTGATGGACCCCTTGGAAATCCAGGTTTTTCATATAGGCCTCCTTGCGATGTCTATATCTTTGTCAATTCTTATCCGATCCTCAAGCGGAGTACCTCAATCGATTTATGGATCGATTCTCCACGAATCTGCATCAAAACCTGGCATTAAAATTTTTTTTCGATTTTTTTCCAATTTTCCTGGTGGACCCCTTGGAAATCCAGGTTTTTCATATAGGCCTCCTTGCGATGTCTATATCTTTGTCAATTCTTATCCGATCTTTAAACGGAATACCTTAATCGATTTGTGGATCGATTCTCCACGAATCTGCATCAAAACCTGGCATTAAAATTTTTTTTCGATTTTTTTCCAATTTTCCTGATGGACCCCTTGGAAATCCAGGTTTTTCATATAGGCCTCCTTGCGATGTCTATATCTTTGTCAATTCTTATCCGATCTTTAAACGGAATACCTTAATCGATTTGTGGATCGATTCTCCACGAATCTGCATCAAAACCTGGCAATCAAATTTTTTTTCGATTTTTTTCCAATTTTCCTGGTGGACCCCTTGGAAATCCAGGTTTTTCATATAGGCCTCCTTGCGATGTCTATATCTTTGTCAATTCTTATCCGATCTTTAAACGGAATACCTTAATCGATTTGTGGATCGATTCTCCACAAATCTACATCAAAACCTGGCAATCAAATTTTTTTTCGATTTTTTTCCAATTTTCCTGGTGGACCCCTTGGAAATCCACGTTTTTCATATAGGCCTCCTTGCGATGTCTATATCTTTGTCAATTCTTATCCGATCTTCAAGCGGAGTACCTTAATCGATTTGTGGATCGATTCTCCACGAATATGCATCAAAACCTAGCATTAAAATTTTTTTTAGATTTTTTTCCAATTTTCCTGATGGTCCCCTTGGGAATTTTTTGATGAAAATCCAGGTTTTTCATGAGGGGCTGCCTAAGATATTATCATAACTTTGGCATTTTTGAAGCGATTTAGAAACGGAATGCCTGGAAATGTGTATTTAACTTTCATCTGTGAACCAAGATAATTGCTGGGATGAAATGCACTTGGCTGGTGGGCAGAGGCGCCAATGGCCGGGAGGAGCCCTCGTGGCACGGTTACAGTTGTGGAAAGGAGGAGGGCGCGATGGGCGGTGCGACTCGTACGTGTCTGGCGTCATTAGTTTTGAGTTTCCAAAAAACTCACGCACACCAGCCTCTTGGGGGAGGCGGGGGAAAGGGAAAAGCCAGAAATGGAAAATCGAAAATGGAAAATGGAATACGGTATGCTTCCTATACGCTCATCAATTTCCATCGTCGAGAGAGCTTAAACAGCGGCTATTTGTAAACGCAGCCAAAAGGCATCTGCCCGAATCTCTGCCGCTTGTCTCCCCCGCTTTCCGCCCTCCGCCCGCCGCCCTCCGCCGTCCGCCCACAGCCTAACGGCCTATAGCCGACAGCCTACAGCCGACAGCAGCCTACAGCCTCGCGCCTACCGCCCACCCACTCCTGACCAGAACCAGAAACCAAAGCGATCCAAACCGATCTCTCTCTTGATAGCTCCCTGCCACCCGGCACCTCGTGTGCCCCGCCACTTTGGGGCAAGCTATTTTTAAAGTCGAAAATACTTTTTAGCTGCCAAGTTGCGAGATGCCAAGTACAGTTGCCTTCTCGAGCGATTGGACTAGATCAGATCGGGCTGGGGCATTAGAATATTCCATATTTTTCAGATGGGCTCTGTCCTGAGGGGGAATCCATCAAAGAGGGTCTAGAAACTCCTACTCCCAAAGGATATCCTTGCTTCTCAAAGTCAACCCACGCTTAAGAGTGAAGGTTTCTTCTGGAAGTAGCTGACTATAAATGGGGGAACCCCAGAGGGTTCAAAGGATTAAGGACATGGTCTTAAAGATGTAGAAAGTAGAGGCTCTCTCACTGGAGAAAAGGCTTATATTTATTTTGGTGGCTACAAGACTTCCAAAGTTCTTTCAGATTCTTCAAGGAATGGAAGGAACCTCCCAAGCCACCATTAAGCTTTAGATTCTTATGATGGCATACAAGGATAGGCAGAGTCCTTGGAGTCTAGGTGGCCTGGTTTATCAGCCACTTTTCCTGCTGCGGGTGGCTGCGGGCACTGCTTTTCATGTGGCTGCGGCTGTAGACGTGTCTTTGGCTGCGGGAAATGTAAATCGTTTTTCCCGAAGCTCCGCTCTCTTGCTCGCTCGCTGGCTCTCGATCCCGCTCCCTCCTTCTTCCCCTCCGCCCTCTCGCTCTTTTACTCTCTTGCAGATACATAGATACTCAGACACAGATACAGATACAGATACAGACACAGATGCCAGGCGCAGGCACAGATACTACGGGGCAGAGCAGAACTTTCGGTTGGAAATTTGCCAACCCCTCATGGCGCTTTTCGACGCGAGCAGCTCGACCCCAAAAGACGTCGGATACTGGGCGGCTGCAGGAGATGGCTGCAGGGTGAGGGCGGGTGGGCGGTCGGGCGGAGTGGAAGACCGGAGGTGGGGCCGGAGGAGGGAGGAGCAGCGTGCACCTTCGGAGACGCGGCCAACAGGCTGCGACGGCTGCTCGGACCGCTCGAGTCGGAATTTCGTGTGCCTGTATTCTGAATTCTGCGGCTGCTCATGCGGCTGAATTCCGAATTCTCGTTCAGTATCCAATTAGACTGCGACGGCTGCTTTGCCAAAGATCGGAGCGAACACACATTTGGCCGCGAGCGTAGTCCGGACCTTAAGCGGTAATCCCACACCAGGAGCGGTGGCCAGTTACCGGATATTGGTGGGTAACGGGTAAGAAAAGTGGGTTGGTGGGAAAGGCGTTTTGGGGCGGATTGTGGGTGGTGGGCGATGGAAAGCGAGGTGTCTGGCGGTGGGCGGAGGCAGAGGCAGAGGCGGATTATGTGTTTTTCATGCCAAGGCGTGTGGGCGGAGATGGCCGAAAACAGGGCCAGCTCCGAATGGAATTTGTTTTCTGGCCACCGCTGTTGTTTGTTTGCAATTGCCGAGCACAGATCTGCGTCTTCTCAGTGTTCCTCGAATTCTTAATTCGTCATAAGCATTTCCCCTGAAGCTATACAAGTCTATAGTATCTTCTATATGTTTCTATAGCTTTTCTGTATCGGCCCTAAGCTCACGTTCAAGCCAGGGATGGAGGAAAGTCCCTGAGACAGGCTTTACTGGGAGGTAAGCTCTCTCTATGGGTCATTTCATGAAATCCTTATAGTATAGTTCCAAGTTAGCCTACATACCAAGAACCAAGGGAGTGGGGGGCTTATCGAGTAGCGGTGATCTAGTAATGCCTAGCAGGTAGAGGCTGAGTCACCCACCCAACATCCACCGTTAGCCGTCCACCACCCAGTTCCAAGTTTCCGTAGAGCCGCAAGCCCACCTTAAGGCGATAAGATAATGCCGGTCGGCAGTCGTTCAGCCAGATTAGATATTAGCTTCAGTTTTAGTTTCTAGAGCTTCAGCCGTGGAACCGCCATACCCCCCTTAAGAGCCCCTTGCCCAGAACGAGGGCTCTGATCTAGCCAGATAATAACAGAAAGAACCCAGAAGTCCACAAGTCACCGTGCCTGCTCATCTTCTTTCAGCTGGCCATTGTGTGTATCTGTGTATCCGTGTATCTGACTCTGTATCTGGCTGTGTCTGCCTGCGCTTTTCATCCCCCCCTCTGACCATTTTCCACCCCCCTCGATCTGGCTGCGCCTCGCTTTCAGTTCGGTTCGGTTCGGTTTGGTGTTTATGTTTTTGGCGTGATTTCGTGTATTAACAAAATTCACTTCTCTGTGTATTTTTAATTTTAGTCCAAGGTTTGAAACAACAACCACAACAACGTCTGAAAAAGTGGAAACGTCTGAAACAGGCGGCGGGGAGGAAGAGGAAGACGAAGACGAAGAAGAAGAAGCAGCAGCAGCAGAGCTATAGCTATAAAGAAGCTATAGTGGCCGAGGCGATATCAAAACCAATAGGAGGGAGCGTCGGGGCGCACACACAAAGAAACCAAAGACAAAGTCGGCGAGTCTTCGAGTCTTCGAAGAGAAAGGCTGGGAACGACTGGGAAGAAAGAGAGTGAAGAGTGGCCGCAATAGAGTGGCAGGAGGAGAGAGAGAGCCTGTCAGCCAGAGAGACAGGGACAGAGACGGTGACGGCGGTCAGCGACGTTTGGAAAAAGTCGTTCAAAATATTGCGCATACGCCGTGTGAACCGAAAGCAAAGAACAACAAGCCGTGTGCTCATCTTTTTTTTATTTTCTTCTTGGGGCTATCTGTGCGTATCGATCGAGCTTGATTAAGCCACCACAGACAAAGAGGAGGTGGAGGTAGAGAGCAGCCAAGGAGGAGGAGGAGTGAAAGGATCGCACTGGACAGGAGCGGTGTGGGTCTGCTGCCGCCAAGGAACCACATTTCGAACTGCAGCCGGCTATTAATCCAGGTAAGTCCTCCCATAAAAGAGAAGCCCTCAAAAGGAATCCCCTTGGATAAACCACCCTCTGGCAGACTCCACTTAGTCCTAACTGCAGTAATCCTAGAAGCTTCCGCTTGAGCTAGAATTCTTCAGGAGATCGTCGGTCTCAGCTTGCTGCTTCCTCGGTCTCGGCCTCGGAGTCGGTGTCGGTGTCGGTGTCGATGTCGGTCTCGGCTGTTCTCCAGATTACACAACTCTGGTCGGCACTGCCACTTCCAAGCGCTTTTGCTACGCTCACGAACACTCGGACCCACACACACACACACTCACCCGGAGCGGGTCCGAGTCCGAATCCGAAACCGAAACAGAAACCGATTCCCCGAGCATGCCTTGGCAGTAAAAAGTGTCAACTCAAGCACTGAGGTTAGCAGCGCTCGGGGAAAATGCGTCCCCTAGTGCGGACATCGAAGAAAATCCAGAATCAGCCCCGCAGGGGAAGGAGCGGCACCGGGCGACGCCACCACCCCCAGGTGCGCCAGGTGATCCCGAGGAAAAGCTGCCGGAGAGTATCAGCGGTGGCAGCCGCATCGGTCCACTCTACGATCGCAGGTCGCAGGTGCGTTTTGGGTTTGAAACCGGGGATTCCAGAGAGAAAGAGCCCTCTAAGACCCCATAGAGAGTTAGGGCACTAGAAGAGCCGGGGACAGGTTGCAGTCGCTATCAAAGTACAAACAAAGCCAATTAGAACTTGAAACTCGCTCACCAAAGCAGCGGCAGCGGCAGCAGGGCGTAAGGTAAGGCTTCACTCCCACATTCCCCGATTCCGCTGCTTGGGCTGGCGTTTTATCAGCGGCTTATCAGTAAATAATTCCACCTGTTGCGGGGCTTGTGTGTGTGTGGTAGGAGATAACGCGGCGAGGTGAGGCATCGCATTAAGCAACGCTTTTACTTGCCACACACACACACACACACAGACTATGGTGGGTCCCCAAAAAGCAAACTTCGCTTGTTTGCACTGTTCGGCGCTGGAATGGAAGCCTCATTGCCAGTGGATTTCATAGATAACCAAACCAAACCGAACTGAAACGAAACAAAACACGAACCCACACTTGTACACACTCAAAGATACAGATACAGAGTCAGTTTACCTCAAATCTTATCTTAAAACTTGACTCGACAGTGGCGCAGTGACGCAGACGCTTAGAAGTTCCCATTGGCCAGACTTTTCCAGTTTATCGTTCCATTAATCAGAAATAATGTATATTTTTGGTAACTGGAAAGGGTTTTTCCTTTCCACAGCTAGTCCTTCTTCAGGGTCCTTCGATCAATCTCCTAACATAGCTGCTTTCCAGTATAAAATCATCTTCAAGGACTTGGAGCTTTTCTATTTTGTTGGGAAATTCCTCTGGCGATCCTCTGTTGCCCCCCTCCCCCTCAGCTTGTTCAGTTAATTAATTTGAGACTCTGCCACCTAATTCATTAATTAAAGCACCGAGGGGGGTCTCCACTCTCTCCCTCCAGTCTCTCACACGTCAGCTTACAACTCGGTTTGGGTCTCAGTCTCGTTTTCCATTCTCAACCCTTACTTTGTTGCAGCTTGAGACCCGCAAGAACAACAACAACAACAACAAGGCCGCCAGCATGTGCGGCTCTCTATGCTCTGCATGTGTGTGCGTGTGTGTCCATGCATTTATTTATAAACTGCGCTCATTGTTGGGGAGCCCTGCTGTCTCCCGTCTTCCTTCCACCTTCCAGCCATCCCTTCCTTGTCTCTTTCTAGCTCTCTCTCTCTCTCTCTCCATTGCACGGTTATTTGCTGTTCTTGAGCTTCTGCTTCTTCTTCTTCTTCGAGGGGGTTGTTGTTGTAAACTCGGTTTCAAGCTTTAATTACGTCTCACACACACACACACGTGAACGGGCCTTCTCGAATTTATTTATTTTTGTGTGGGAGTGTGTGTGTGTGTGTGAGTGTGTGCAAACAGACAAAGTCATTTAGGCCCAGCTGTGTGTGGCCCCCTTGGCGGGGCACAAAAGGGGTAGGTGGGCTGGCGAGGAGCGGGAGAGGTAGCAGGGAGCAGTCCCTCTGCCCCCATTCAGTTCTGTTCTTCTGCCGACGTCGCCGCTTCGGCTTCTGCTGCTGCTGCTGCTTATGCCTCTGCTTCTGCTGCACTCCATTCAACGGTACTTCTGAGCGTGTCCGAATTCGAATTCAAATTCAGTCGAGCTTTGCGTCTCGACGCCGCCGCTCGCGAAGTTTTGCCGCGCGCTCTCTTGTTCTCCGCTTCGATTTGCGCCCACCGCCACCCACTTTTCTGCGCCCGCTCTCGCCGGCTTCGGCGGCCCCAAAACGTGAGTATGGCTCTTCCATGTGTGAGTGGGGAGAGTGTTTTACGCTAATCTCCAATTTTAAGATTAGATATCGGGGCACCGCGTCCCATTTGCTGGCGCTTTTTTCTTTTTCCAGCCCGCCTTTAAACCTCTCCCACTCTCCTACGTGTCCTCGCTTCTCGGGTCCCCTGAGAGTCTAAGTTCGGCTGGGTCCCTTAAGTGGAGCCTATTCTTCGGGGGCTTCAAAGGATCACTCCACTTCTTCCGCTCAATCGATAGTGCTGATAAGCTTTGATAAAAGCGCCATAACTCACACGCACACACACTCTCATTTATCGAGGATTGGGCGACGCCGACGTCGACGCCGACAACGACGACGACGCATGGCTTTTGGTCGAATCGACTTCGGGCCTGGCCTACTCTCCCTTACGCTTTTCCGCTGCGTTGCCAGCTTATCTCTTCCGCGCGCTCCACTCTCTTCCTCTGCGTTTGTGTATGTGTGTGTGTGTGCGGTGTGTGAAGAGTGGAGCAACAATGTTTTTGTTAATTTCGCCCGCTTTGTTTTTGTTTTTATTGTTATTGTTATTGTATTAATTAAAGAACGCAATAGGAGGAAGGTACGATAGGCGTCTCCTTCAGGACGCCATTTTTCTTCAGCCAAAAGTTCTTATCGATAGTCTTAAGACCGTGAGGTCGTGAGAGGTGCATGCGTGACCCACTTCTCAAGTGATGCTCCTTTTGCAGCCGATTGTCCGATTACCAGGCAACCGTTAGCGGATGCTCAGGAGACAATCGAAGCCTCCCGAAGAAACGGCTAAAAGAAGAACACGTGAAAATGAAGCATCCTAACCAAAAAGCTCTGTGCGTGAAAAATTAACATTTTATTCATAGTTTTTGATTAGTGCGAGTTTATAGAGTCCTTCAGGTGTGTTATTTTTACGGCAATAATGACGCTTCTCTTCTCTGTTTCCAGCTTCAAGACGTCTTGCAAACGGCTAAAAATGGAGAAGACTCCCCGGTACACGCAGCGGGAGCGGAACATGGTGCTGCGCTATGCGGCGCAGTACAAGGACGTCATCGAGAACAAGCGCACGGACGCCGAGTCGAACCGCAAAAAAGACGAAGTGTGGCTGGAGATCGCCAAGGAGTTTAATTCCCGGGTCTATCACCAGCGCAGCGCCAAACAGCTGCGCCAGCTCTACAAGAACATGAAGCTGCTGCTCAAGAAGGATCTGTGCGGCGAGGACAAGACAAATCCCTCGTTCATGGATCTGCTCAACAAGCTGTCGCAGCCGGACTCTATGGCCCAGTACATTTCCGATCAGTTCTCGCCCGATGGCGCGGGCGGAGGCGGGAGTGGCTCCAAGCAAGGCGGTGCCGGAAATGGCAATCACGGCGACGACTACGACGACTCCAAGGTGGGTGTGCGACCTGTTCTTCTCGGCCAGCATGTAACTTACTCCGTTTCTGACCATTTTCAGCTCCCACACTACGGCGAGGGGATGGATACGGAGGTCATCCTGATCAAATCGGAGACCATCAGCGACAACGAGCAGACGGACAACGGCATGGACTGTTTGGACGACGACGATGACGACGACTGTCTGAGTCCCAAGGCGCCCGAAGTCTGCCTCGAGGAAGAGGACGATGTGCTCTTTCCCACAGACCTGCGCCAGCTGCAGCAAGTCTCCTCTTCGGCTGCCTCGGCGGCGGGAGTTGGGGCCTCCACGGCCTCGCTGCCGGGCAACATATTCAGCAACGGCATTGCGGATCCTGTGCCACGTGCCGCCAGCTCGCCCGTGTGCTCCACTAAAACCTCGGCAAGCTCCAGCGGCAGCTACGCCCCGGGAACACCAAAGCCAGACATCACCATCCAGAACTTGGGACACATCCGAGTCGGGTCCTTTGCGAACATAAACAAGACGCTGCAGAACGGCGGTACAAGTTCGGGTGGAATCCAGTCCGCTAACGGGGTCAACTCCAATGGAGTACTGTCCCTGACCGCGGAGCAAGTGCAGCAGCACACACTGCTCAATGGCCTCGGCCTCTCCGCCGTGAACCGTGAACCCCAGAGTCTACAGGCAGCCATCAATGCTGCCACAGCTTTCGTCTCCGCAAACAACTCCTCGGGGGTTGCCAGCAGTCGTGGCACCCCACCCACCCTGCAGCTGCCACGCCTACAGAGGGGCAACAACAACAACAACAGCCACACTGGAAACGCCAACAACTCGTCGGTGTCCACGAACGGAGTGCAGCTGCTGCTCAACGGAGGCCACCATAGCGGGCACCATAACCAGCACAATCAGCATGCGCATCAGAAGTCTGGAGGCGTGGCAATCGGAGCAGCCGGCAGCTTCAACGGCTACAATGGCCTGGCCGTGGTTCCGTGCGCCAATCTGAACACCAGCAGCGGATCGGGCAGTGGCGGAAGCAGTGCCAACAGCAGCGGGGCCGGCTTGGGCCTTCACAGCGCAGGTTCTGGAGGCGGAGGGATCGGAGCAAGCGGCTCCCGCACCCAGCAGCAGGAGCTCATGAACTCGTTGAGGATCGAGGAGAGCAAGCGGAAGATCGACCTGCTGAACGCCCAGATAGAGTACTGGCAGACCCTGACCCGCAAACTGAACACCCAGACGGGACACCTGCCGAATCCGGCCTGCCCGTGCCACTTTCCCGGCGCCAATGCCCTCTCGCCGAGCGCGGCCGGCGTCGGAGCCGGTAGCTCCTCGTCCTCTGTATCCGCCAGCGTTCTGCAGAGCCAGGCCAGCAGCAGCTAGTCCGCCGGGAATGGAGATGGTGGATGCGGCGGCCTAGAGGAGGAGGACGAGAACGCCAGCGACAGCGACATCATCTCCATAGTGGACATAGATGATGACGACGATGAGCAGGACGAGGAGGAGCAGGAAACCGACGACGAGGAGGAGAAGGCCATGGCGTTTTCTGCGCTTCGCCACGAGGACGTCGAGGAGGATGACTCACAGGATGCCTTGGTGAAGGATGTGGGCGTGGTGGGCCCCGCCTCGCCACGAGAAGCCGCCTCCAAGCTGCTGCGCCAGCTCGCCGAGGAACGGTGTTAGTATTTTTTTCTAGTTCGCATGCCATGTATTAACCTAAGCAGCCACCTTTCAATCCTAGTTTTAGCCATTATCCCGCAGTCGTACCCATGCCTATATAGAAAGAGGAATAAGTCTATATGTGGGTATGGGTGTAACGTACAGATAACGTACAATTAGGCCTAGTTTGAGTGCCAAAAAGGCAGAGAAGCCTTGCCATCAAGAAAGCTTGCCAAAGGACCCGCTTTTGTGGTCACACCACTCGCAAACGCTATTTATTTGCTAACCTACAAGTAGTCCTTAGTCTAAGTTGTTCTTTTTTTTTTTCCTTATCACTATTTAATTATTTTTTCGGTTTGTTTTGAATCCGTTTTTGATGTTAAGTTTTTTTTTGAAGAGCTGCAACCAAAAATAAGAGAAGATCTTAACATTGTACATTTATTTTAAAGTTTATACTAAGTGCTTACTTACTTAATGAGAACCGATGCCCCAAAGAGCCGGGAGACGAGAAAACAAAGAACGAAACTGTACAAATGTGGTTCCTAATCTAGTCCTTAAAGTCCTTAGGAGACGAATTATAAAGAAGCATCAAGCCGAGAACTTGTATTATTTTTATAGACCTTCAGCCCCGACCAGTTCCTTTCCCGAAACCCCAAATCCTACAAAAATGAGAGTACAGAACCCAAAAAAGAAACCTTGCCTAAGAATCGTAGCTAATTTAATGTACTTAAAGAACCAAAAAGAGCGGAAAGCTAAACGCTAATGAAATAAAGTCTGTACAGATAAAAAAAAGTGAATGTTGAGGAGAGAAACTTGCTAGTCGTCGCTACATACTTGTATTTTAGTGTAGGGTACAGCCATTTAGTTACTAATTGTACGTGTAAAATACGAATAATTGACTACCCAGTAACCACAATTTACAAAGGATCAACCTTACCACACTTTAAAACACAAACCAAACCAAAAAAAAAAACAAAAAACCAAATGTGGAAAACCGTACAACAACAAAAACACAAATCTTTATACAAATTTTGTAAACAAATTTATAAATAAAACAATGAATTTACTTTGTGGCCTAGCTGGAGGGTTGTGATTAATGGGGGATCACTACAAATTGCTTTAAGCTCTTAAGTTTTTTTTTTGAAATTGCTGCCGATACTTAGCCGTCCTTTCCAACACTACTTTTTTTCGATAAGAAATATCGGAGAAAAACGGTCGGTCTACAAGAGAAAAGTCTGGCCCCACTTTATCGCCAAAGTTGTTGCCAATTATAATTGCGAATTTGGGAACAAGCAGCAACAACAACACCAAGCAGAGCAGCAACAGCAGCAGCGGTAGCGAAAATAAAAACAACGCAGCTCCACAGCGCCAGTAGTCAATGAAGTGAACGCGAACTTAAAACCTGTGCGCCGCTCTCGCCATCGCACACTCTCTTTCGTGAGTGTGTGTGAGTCTGTGTGTGTTTGTGTGTGTGTGTGTGCTTGCGAATTTGGATAGCTTACGCGCCCCCACAAGCCCCACGGCCCCCGCCCTCTTGCCTTTTTGCCCAGCGGAGCACCTGAAGCACCTGGAGCACCTTGAGCGCACACCTGTCACTGCGAGCGTTGTTTTATCCGCCGAAGAGGCTGGAGGCGTGACAAATCCTTAGAAATTACCACCAGCTGTTCGCTGGTAGTCCCCGATAGCAAGCAGCTCCTCCGACTGAAGCGGGCCTTCAGAGGGGAGCCGCCTCCCACCCGAGCGAGCGAGAGAAAGAGATACACCCTTGAACTCCCAGGAGGAGAGGAGAGCTTCTCGGTGAGAGTTCGCTATTGCTGCTGCTGAGAGCGCCTGGATGCCCGGTTTCCACCTCAATGAAATGGGTGAAATGGTCCTGGACGCCATCGACGACATCGGCGTGGTCGATGTCTATGACCTGGCCTCCGATATTGGCAAGGAGTACGAGCGGATCATGGACCGCTTCGGAACGGATGCGGTGAGTGGTCTGATGCCGAAGATCATCAATACGCTAGAGCTCCTAGAGGCGCTGGCCACGAAGAACGAGCGCGAGAATTCCACCATCCAGGAGCTGCGCGACAAGGTCGCCCAGCTGGAGAGCGAGAAGCTGGAGAAGGCCGAGTTCCGGCGTCGCTTCGAAAAGGAGTTGGAACTCATAGAGGAGCAGTGGCGCAGCGAGACCAATGAGCTGGTGGATCTGGTCTCCTCGTTGCAGGACGAAAACAAGCGCCTGGTCAAGCAGACGCAGGATCTGCAGTCGTCTTCCGCGCAGAGCTCCGGACTGGGAGCCAGTCTCACTGAGAGCATCATCAGCATGACCAATAACGAGCTCCACAGCGCTCTGTCGGACACGCAAGTGCTGCAGCGGCTCAAGGAGCAGATCTACAAGCAGCGGGACGAACTGAAGCAGCGGGAGCGCGAGCTGCAGGACAAGTACAGCGAGCTTGAGCACGTAAGTATCCCTCATGGGCTTCTCCGGCCGCAACTACCAATGTTTTTCTCCTTTGACAGCTCAACATACAGGCGGAGCGCCTAAAGGCCTCTGAGCGGGACACCCGCCGGCGTCACAAGCTGATGCAGGCCCAGGTGAAGACGCTGTGCGAGGAGCGCGCCGATTTCCTGGCCCAACTGCAGGATCAGAGCCGGGAGATCAACCAGCTGCGTAAGCGCCTGGGCCTCGCCGAAAAGGAGAACGAGGACCTGGTGGCCTCCTACGATGACGGCCAAAACGATCCGAACCGGCCGCGGTACACCACGCGAGAGCTGAAAGAGCTGATAAGCGAGCGGGACGAGCTACTGACCACCATCGACGGCCTCAACGAGCAGCTGGCGGAGCTAAAGCCGCCTAGTCAGGCGAAGGCCAAGCGCCAGCGCCACTTTTCCAGCTCGGACGACAGCGACGACGAGGACGACGGTCATGTGGCGGACAACGACGACGACGAGGAGGAGGAGGAGGCCACCGAGGCGGACGTGCCGGCTGCCGGTGAAACGTAAGGACCTATCCTATCCATCCTATTAACCCCTAGTAGCTAATCCCCTTTCGTTGATTCAACGGGTTTTGGCTCCGGTTTGCTTAGCAATTAGTAAACTTTATTCAAATCGGCCCTATGATGCACGCTCGATGACTCACCACCCCGTTGTGTGTCACTTTGATTGCAAGGTTAACTGCTTTTTTAAAACTTAATAATTTATTAAGGCAATTGCGCTATAAATACTAGGGGTTTCAAAAAGGGTTAGCCCAACTCTTGCATGCCAAGGTCATACATTTTATTCTTGATTTTCAGACCCCCCGGACACGATGCTCCAGTGCAGGGACCGCTGCCCTATGAACCGGATGACGCACCCTGGAAAAAGAGCTCCGAGTCGGGAATACGCAAGTTGTAAGTAGGACTATATTCATGGTTGCGATGGTTATTGACTCTCGATTCAAAATGGCAGCTTCCGGAAACTATTCTCGGATCCTTCGGATGGAAACAATACATTCCCGAAACGTTCCTTGGCCACGCTCTCGAAGATGGCACTCTCGGCCACGCCCGGTTCCGTATCCGCCTCCGAGGCGGCGAAGTAAGCGCCCCCATGAAGCATCCGAGTTGGCGTGCATTTCATTTTCGTTTTGTTTTCTGTTTCCGTTCTTTTTTGTTTTCCGTTTCCGTTCCGTTTCCGCACCCTGCATTCCGTAATCCGCATTCCGCAATCCGCAATCCGACCTCTGCATCTCGCATCTATACGAATATTTTATTTATTATTTATGATTTGATATTTATGTTTAGTTTGGCCAGTAGTTGCCTCTACCTGTCCCTGTCCCTCGCCATTTACCTGCTCCGGTGGAGCTGTACATACATAGTATACACACTCGATTGCTGTGCCCTCGTAATTCTAAGTTGTTATGCGATTTTATTTACGTAATACGCCTTTTTCGTAATCCCCTAATCCTTAAACCGTAATCCCTAATTCGTAATCCGTAATCCGTAACAGTACTGGGTATTTTATACAAAAATTCACTTTGTATGTTTTTTGTACTTTGTATTTAATCTTAACTTAACGTCTACAAATTAAGAATCAAAAACACACACATCACACACCACACACAATACACACACACCATAACCGGAAGGACACAAAGATATATGCCAGAAAAGGTTATAGAAGAGAGGAGTTTTAATGAATTTATAAAAGTAAAGTCGAAAGAAGAGACGACCTCGAACAAAAACCCCAAAACTATTAACTGAATCGAGGAGGCAATCTGTTGCCAGGGAGTGCCAGTGGAAGCCCAACTATGTGTAGACTAACCCATCCCCCAACCCACATTCCCCATCCATGATCACCGATCTGTATTCCTGCACTCCCCAAAAGTATTTTAGCATTCTCATAGCAGTTGCCCCAAGCGGCCTTATATATTACAAATTTATCAAAATACGCAAAAAAACGTTTAGAAAATGGAGTATCGAAATCGAAATCGAATCCAAAATGCAAAAAAAAAAGTATATAAATATATATAATTGATATATAATTAGCAAACGTTACAACCTTAGCGCATTGTTTGTTGAATTGAATTTAAAACTAAACACTAAACGAAAGCAAATTAAGCAAATTAGATTCCATTTAGAGTGCAGAAGATGCCAAAAGAATAAAATATTAAAGCAGTGAGTGTTTTAGCCAAAAGGACTTAGCCATTAACCAGCTCTCTAACTAACTATCTACTACTCGACTTGAAACGCCTCGTGCCCCAGAGATAGAGATACCAGGCCATGTACATCCCCCCATCTCCAGATCTCAGACGCTTCTCCCAGAGTCCTTGGACCCTGGACTCGCTTTCGGTTCATTCCGCTATTTCACCTTGGTTTGGATCCAGTGACTTGATCTGCTTTATTTACATATATGCTATCTAATAGTTTGACATCCGAGTAGTTCTGTTTCTGTGGAACAGGGTTAGAGTCGCCCCCGAAAGTAAGCACAAAGCGAGGAAACTCCAGTTACATATCAGCTTCGTCGATTGCATCGATCTAAATGTGCCAAAGACTAATTGTCAGACAGCCCTAAAGACCCCAAAGCCCCGAGAATCCCCCAGAAGCTCCCACTCCCCCAGCACCCCATCCCACCCCCCTATCAGTATCAATCAATCTCGTCTCAATTAAAAAAAAACAATCTTTGGCAAATCAACTGAACTTTTACTATATATGTATGGATGTATGGATGTACATCCTCTGACTAAGATGGACTAACAAAAAAGAAACGATTATTAGAATTGGAGGTAGGGATTTGGAGAAGAATCGAAGACATGAAGACGAAGAACCAGAACGAGAACGAGAACGAAGACAGTTGAGCGATGCCGAGACATTGAGAGTTTTTGGTGAATTAATGTTAACTAAATTTATATATACATATACACATGCATTATACATAATATACTTTACTATATACTATGTAATACCGTATTATATGGAACTATGACTAACCAAAAAGAAATGGCAACAATTATACAAAATTAAAAAACAAAAACAAAAAAAAAGACACAAAAGCAAGAGTCGCAATTAGACGTACGAGAGTGCCCAAAAATGGACCATAGGATCCGGACGCGGACTGACGGACCATCGGATCCACGGCGCGGAAAGGACAACAGGGAGAGTGCAATGGGACCCAGGAGGAGGACTCCTCACGCGGGCATCCTGTGCGATCCCAGTACGTATTTACAATTCATGTTTGGTCGGAAGTTAATCCAACCAAAGTCAACAATAAAACTTATGAACCATTAACGACTGTTTCTGTGGGTGGGAGGGGGGTTACGGGTGTCCTGGACGTACGGGGAGTCCCCCAATTTCCTTCCGAAAAAAGCTTTCCATAAAGCTCGCCCTTGTCCTGGAGCTTTAGCAGCAGGGCGGGTGGCTGCTTGCATCATCCTCGTCAGGGCATCCTGCGCATCTGCGTCTGCATCTCGTGTCCTGCGTCAGAGCCCACATCTCGTGTTCCATCTCGTGCCTGCGTCTCCGTATCCGTCGCCGTGTCTTTTCCTTGCCAGTGTCCTGCGGTTGCTGGGCGCCTGTTTCCTGCGCCGGGTTGAGGCGTATCTAGGGCGTGGTGGTTGCTCGTCCCGGCCGACCTTGAAGCCCCACCCACTCGGCCCACTGGAGGTCCTGTTGCCATTTTTAATTGCCCAGCAACAGGCGTGGGCGTGGCCAGCGATTGAGTGCGTGTGGGAGTGGCTGCGAGGATGCATCTTCGCTGGCCTTCCCACGCAGTTCCAATTAAGCAATTAAAAATCCGTCAGTGCGTCGGGCCGGCGGGGGCGGTGGGGCGCCGGGCGTGGCCACTGGGGCAGGAGCCGGCGTTGTCAGGTTTTTAATTAAGAAGATGTTAGCGTAATAGGATAGAAGAAGATGCCCTGCGAAAATCGTAGGTCGAAATGGTGCGCAGCTAATGAAGAAGGCCGCATGGGGGCCGGGACGGGTGGCGGGGAGCGGCGGGGGACTTCCACTAATTGGCTTTTTGCCGTTCTGAGGAAGGCAGGGAGGAGCGAGGGGGTGGAGCAACCACCACCACCACCACCATCGGTGGTTAGATTAATTAAAACAAAACCGGAGCTGTTAACGAGTTGCCGAGGTCCAAGACTTTGGCTGCGGTCACTCTTCAGGCTGGAGGCCCAGCTCCACTGGATGCTCCGCGTCGGGCGCCGCCTGGCAAAGGCGCCTGCCGTCGTCGGTCACCGCACACGACGTGCGACGATTTCAGGGGCCTTCAGTCAGTCGATTTTCGAACAGGGACCCAGGAAGCTGCAGCACAACCAGCCCAGAGCCAGACACCACAAACTTCCCCAGGAGGAGCGAGGCTACAGTGAAATCTGGCTGGTGGGGGAACGGTTCTCCCAAGTGGCCAGCTGAGTAGGGGCTTCAAGAAGCACAACAATGGCCAATAGCAACCATTCCTCTTGGTAACTCTCATTGCCTTCCATCCCCCGGCGTTCATCAAAAACAGGTTCTACTGTGTGTAAGCTCGGCTGAAAGAGCGAGCAAGCACCAGCAGTGGCAGCATCAGCTCTCTGTTACATCGCTCTCGCTCTCGCTACCACTTCACCACCCTTGCTTGGCGTGTGTAAGAGCAGTGAACTAGAGAGAGATGCTTGTACACCGGAGAGCTTTCAGCTTTAAGTGCGTCATCTCGCTCAGCGCCGGCAGTGCTGGAAGGTTGCTCTGCGTTGCTGGGCGCCTGGTTAGCGGCCAGCGCCAGGTTGGAACAAGAAAACGAAAGTGTTAACGCTCGCCTATCCGCTCGGCAGCCGCTCCGGGTTTCTCGACTCTGGCCTGCTCTCCGTCATCCGTATTGGGTCGTGTACGTGCGTGGAGTCCGGTGCCATCGAGATGGCCATATGTGACGGAGGCCGTCGGGCGTCCTTCCGGAGTGGGTGATAACCAATAACCGCCCTGTTGCCATCGCTGGCAGCCTGCTGAATTCGCGACGCGCATGACGCGACCTGTCGCTGTCTCAATGTCGCCGCAACATGTTGGCTGGGTCGCCCTGCCTGCGCCCGTCTGCTCCCGTTTCTGGCCACCTGATCCGCTCGGGTGAATTCTACGAAATTCGCCTGCCGTGCTGGCCCGGCTGGCCTGGCGGGCTTGGCTGGCCGCTTTTCGCGCGATGTTGCAACCGTCGCAGCGGTGGTGGCTTATTGGAATGAACATTCTAGGAACTTGCCCTAGACGGCATACCAGGCTATCATAACAGCACTGCCAGCAGATGCCCCAAATTCAGGTAAGTCCAACAGGCGGAAAGCGGTGTCTGACCATGCTATGGCTCTCTCTCTGTGGTTCGTGTCTTGTCTAAGCATGAGCTTTCGCAGTTTTCAAAAAGGAGGAGGGGGAGGGAGGAAAAACTTGTTTATGCATTTTTTTTGTAACTTTAGTCAAGCTTTAGCTTTGAATTGTTTTCGTGGGAAAAACGAGATTATTTAAAGTGCACTAGTTAGTGGGGGGGGTGGGGGTGGGTCATTGTCTCTGGAATTTGTTGTCGGTTTCTACGGATGCAGTCTACGGATACACAGATACTCTGGTTCTGGTTCTGGCTCTGGTCTGGATTCTGATTCAGGCTCGCACTGGCGAGTTCATTTTTTGTACAATAAGTGCTCCAATTTGGCCAGGCTAGCATAAATTGGTTGCACAACGAAACGTGGCAAGTGAAGGAACTCCTGCGTTCTTGTCTTCTGGCCTCCCCTTCTCTCTACCTCTTCTTCTCTTCTTCTGGTCTTTATATCTTTCTTGTTCTTTTTATCTTTTTCTCAGTCATGATTACCTTTAAAGAACAGATTCTTCTTCTCCGACGTTGATGGATATCTTTCGGACTTCCAACAGCTGACTCTTCTTTAATCCCACAATCCCTGTCCCACTGACTGGGGGCTTAGGCCATTAAGACAATGCACTAGCTGGGGGCCGAACAATGAAAATCCGGTGGCCAAGTGTCAAGTGTTGATATTTAAGCTCCAGAGCAACCAAACCCCAAGCCCCAAAACCCCTCGGGGGGTTGCCATTTTGAGGAAATAAAATTTGGTCAACGAAAGCAGGAGATACGAGTGGCGGTGGGGGTGGGGGTGGTGCAACATTTGGGGGCGCAATGAATGAATGGCAACTGCATTGCGGCTGGTGGCATGGGGGTGGCGTGGGGGTGGGAGGCCCAAACAAAAGGCAACTCGACAGCTGCGCTTGTCCCCAGTAAATTCAACTTAGTGTTCAGTTACCGCCCCGGAGGAAATTCCATTTCTGGCTGGCAAATAATACCACAAAAAGAGGAAACTATTCGCACACCTCACATTCCATGTTTTGGTTTTTTATTAGAACTAACTACACCTTCTATATGGAACTATTTCTGGTCTATAGTGGGAGGCATGACTGTACAGTCGTCACCTTGTGGTAGGCGGTAGGCGGTAGGCCGTACGTTGCAACGTAGTCCTCCTCAGAAATGGTGACACAAAATATGCAACACTCTCTCCAAGCCGAGCCGAGGCGAGCCGTACCGGAAAGGCATTTAAGCGGATTCCGGCAAGTGCTAAGTTCAGGGGCGTCGCTCCGGACACACAAAAGGGGGGACCAGACCGAGGCATTTCTCTCTCTCTGGAATAGCCAGAAGTTTTCGGGCAGCTTCCCGTCGAGCTCACCTCAAAGGAAGCGCCACAATGATGTTTAAGAACTGCCTGGGGGATAACAGCCCCAAATCCGGGATAAGACAGCCTCCCCCCCGAAAAAAAACATAAAAATTCACTCAATTGAGATGTTGAGGTAAATGCATTTTCCAGGAACTCACAGGTGAGATTAAGGCGAAATATATCCCAGAAAGTGCTTAAGAAGCCAACGGGTTTGTTTAAACGGGTTTTTCGAATAAAAGGACCTCCAAAGCGGGTCCCCCTCTTGGAATTATGTTCCTGTTGACACATTGACAAGGACAAGGACATCGCCAACAGCTTTGATGCTCCGATGTCCTGCGGACGGGCATAATTTGTAGCCATTATGCTGCCCCATAAATCGATTGACTTGAATCCCTTCGGTTTTTTTGTTGGCTATGACATAATGTCAAACTGCAGGAGCAGGATGACAGGACAAAGGGCCGCCCAAAGCGGATGGCGGGAGTTGGAAGTGACTCGACTTGGTCGCCGCATATGCATGGACATATGCTTTTCCAGATTGCTTTTTTGGCTCGCCGGCATTTCGGCTCCGAAGCTTTTTCCTGCAACGGCGTTGGGAGCTTTTCGAAAGAGGTCCTTCCACGGGGCAGATGCCAGGATTCCAGGCTTTACCCCCCTGCTCCTGGGCCGCTCCAAAGCTTTCCGGCTTGACCAGATGCGAGGCGCTCCTCCCGGCTTTTCGCGACCGACCACCAGCTGAGGGTTAACGTCGGGGCCGGCAGCGCCCCGGTGACGCCAGACGGGTTAAGGAGCAGTTACAGGAGCCGGAGCAGGGGAGCCATAAACTCGAAATGGCTCTGACAGATGTCTAGACGAGGAGTTGAGAGCGATGGGGCCGGCGATGGGGCCAAAAGTCAGCTGTGGATGGCGAGGTGGTGGAATGATTGATGGATTGATTGATCGATTCCTCCCCCAACGGGGAGCACCAGTGCTTGACCGCTGAAAATGTAAATGCCAGCGAGTGTGCTTTCCCCCATTTGCGAGGGGGTCCTCGCCTGGTGGGCAGGTCCTGGCGGGCAGGACTGGCGCACTCATTTGTCGCCGCTGTTTGCGTTTTCACTGCAGTTTCTCTAGAGCACTTGGCGATCTGCTGGCGCGTCGCAGGACCCGCAAAAAAATAATTAAATAAAAAACACACACACACACACACACACACAAGTGCTGTTGGGACTGTGTAGTGTGCAGTGTGTTTGTGTGCCGCCCCAGTGCTTGGCATTTAAAAACATTCGTCTTCACGTTTTACCTGCCACCTGCCACGCGCCACTCTTTGATTTTCCGCCAGCCACGCCCACATAAGCGCCCACTCCCACTCGCACGCCCACGTCCACGCCAAAGGGTATGAATGGATTCCCGACATCTCTGTCCGGACATCTCGCAACTGTGTATCACAATGGTGCGGTGTGAATCCTGTCAGCCATAGCCGGGGGGGGAGGGAGGTATAATGAGACGCAGACTCTATGATTGATTCTGCACCCCGAAGTGAACAAAGCCCCATCTAGTTTATGGACCCAAGCACCCATAGATACATATATCCCCATCGCTGCACCCCGGCAAGTAGCGGGTATCAACAGCGCCCTCATCCTTGGAAAA